GGGGGGGTGAGGTTCTGAGCCTCACCTCTGTTGATCCCCAATTTCTCACCTGATGGCCCCCCTGCGACTGTGCCTGTCTTAGGTTGTTCCTCCCTTGAGGAATCTTACCCGTCTCTGGCTGAACAGTAATATTTTGAAAGGGATCTTTTATCAGAGCAGCAGGTCTCAATAGTGGGCTTAAAATACTTAGTAAACAATGTTGTAAACAGATGTGCTGTCATCCAGGCTTTGTTGTTCCATTTATAGGACACAGAGAGTATAGAGTTCGCATAATTCTTAAGGGCCCTAGGATTTTTCAGAAAGGTAAATGAGCATTGGCTTCAACTGAAAGTGACCAGCTCCATTAGCCCCTAATAAGAGAGTCAGTCCATTCTTGGAAGCTTTGAAACCGGGCATGGACTTCTCCTTTCTGGCTGTGAAAGTCCTAGATAGCATCTTCTTGCAATAGAAAGCTGTTTGTCTACACTGAGTGTCTGCTGTTTAGTGTAGCCACTGTCGTAAGTGACCTTAGCTAGACCTTCTGGACACCTGCGGCTTCTACACTGGCACTTGCTGCTTCACCTTGAACTTGTATGTTACAGAGACGGCTTCTTTCCTTAAATCTCATGAACCAACCTCTACCAGCTTCCAACTTTTCTTCTGCAGCTACTCACCCCTCTCAGCCTTCATGGAATTGAAGAGTTAGGGCCTTGCTCTGGATTAGGTTCTGGCTTCACCGAAATGTTGTGGCTGGTTTGCTCTTCCAGTCAGACCACTGAAACTCCCTCCCTGTCAGCAAGAAGTCTGTTTCATTTTCTTAGTCACGTGTGCACTGAAGTAGCACTTTTAATGTCCTTCAAGAACTTGTCCTTTGCGGCCACAGCTCGGCTCCTTGCTGCCACGTAAGTCCTGGCCTGTGGCCCGTCTCAGCTTTCGGCATGCATTCTTCCCTCAGCTTCCTCTTTCTAGCTTTTGATTTAAAGTGAGAAAGAGGGGACTCCTCTTTTCACTTGAACAATAACAGCCATTGGAGGATTATTAATTGGTCTAATTTCAGTATTGCTGCATCTCAGGGACCAGGGAGGCTCCAGAGAGAGAGAGAGATGGGGGTGGGGTGGGGTGGGACAGCCAGTCGGGGGAGAAGCAGAATACGCACACTCACTGACAGACTTTGCTGTCTTGTATGGGCCCCCAAACAATCACACTAGTAACATTAAAGATCACTGATTATAGATCACATGACAAATATAAGAATGATGAAAAAGTTGGAAATACTGTGAAAATTACCAAAATGTGACCCAGAGACACAAAGGGAGCCAACGCTATCAGAAAAATGGTGTTGATGGACTTGCTCAACGCAGGGCTGCCACAGACCTTCAATTCGTACAAAACGCAGTATTGGCGCAGCACAATAAAACGAGGTATGCCTGTACTGTGCACAAGATCCCACCTTCTCTCCTGGCCCAGGATTGGCACCAGGGCAATTCTCTCCTCCCACTTGCTTGGTCAATTTCCTCCTTTTGACTGGATCATTTTTATCAACACACAAGCATGCTGTTACAGCTCCTATCTTAAAAACAAACAGGAAATGGCATGGCAGGTCCTGAAAAAATTAAACACAGAATGGCAGTATGATCCAGCAATTCCACTTCTGGATATATTCCCCAAAGAGCTGAAAGCAAAAGCATTGGACAGATATTTGTCCACCCATGTTCACAGCAGCATTATTTGCAGTAGCCAAACGTGGAAACAATCCAAGTGTCCATCAATGCATGATGAACGGATAAGCAAAATGTGGTGGCTTCATACCAAGGAGCGTCCAGGCATTAAGAAGGAAGGGAATTCTGATGCCTCCTACAATGTGAATGAACCTTGAGGACGTTATGGTAAGTGAAATAAGCCAGTCACGGGATGACAAATACTAGGTGATACCATTTATATGAGGTTCCCTAGAGCAGTCAGATTCATAGAGACAGAAAGTGGAACGGTGGGCTCCAGGGGCCAGAAGAGGAGTCAGTGGATGTGAAGTTTCAGCTTAGCAAAAGCAAAAATGCTCTAGAGATGGATGGCGGTGATGGCTGCACGACAGTGCGAGAGTGCTTAACGCCACAGAAGTTTACACTTAAAAGTGGTTAAAATGGTAAATGTTATGGTTAGCTCATGTATACCTACAAAGCCCCAAACAGAAAAACAAACATAAACTCTTTATCTCACGTCTCTCTCCAGTTACTACATTTCTCTGCTTCTTTAAGAGCAAAACTCCTGGAAAGATGATCTCTAGCCGCCGTCCCCAGTACTTCGGTTCCCATGCTCCCTGGAACCACGCTAATGGGACTTCCCATTGCTCTCCAGAAACTGCTCTGGCCAAGGTCAACAAAGGCCTCCTCGTTAAATCCGTGGCTACTCTCGCGGCATCTGACTCAGTCGGTCACTGCTGCCTCCTACCGCTGGGTCTCCGAGTCGCTCGCTGGTGCCGGGCGCCCCTCCTGCCCCAGCTGTCCCTGCTGGTGTCCACAGCCAGGTCTGGCTCCTCTCCTGGCTTCACCCATTCCTTGGTGACGTCGGTACCGGGGTTGCTTCACTGTCGGGTCTGCATTTGTCTCTGCCTCCTGACCTTTCTCATGAACGCCATTCCCAAATATCTGTCACTTAGCACGGCTACTGCTATGCTCAAACCTAACAGAACCCAGACCTAACTCCTTATCTGGCCTGAATCACCCGGCTCTTCCACAGACTAAATCCACAGACCCGGCCTCGTTCCACTAAATCACAACTCCACCCTTCGAGTTCCTCAGGCCCAATCCTAGCAGCCCCCCTTTTCCTTACAGCCTATATTTATTGCATCAGCACAGCCTGCCGCCTCTACCTTCAAAATACAGTTGTTCCAGAATCTGACACCTCACCATTCACCTGCATTCGCCCTTGAGCCCCACCCCCACCCCACCCAGTGGACAGGGATTTTGTAAAAATGCAAGTCAATCTTGTTACTTTTCCGCTGAAAGCCCTTCCCGTCTCACCTAGAATGGAAGCCGGAAGCCCTTAGAGAGCTGTAAAAGGCACTCACAGTTGTCCCCACCCCATTTCCTCTCTATGCTCTGTTCCCGGATCACCCTGCTCAGGCCACGCTGGCTTCTGCACCGACCCTCCAAACATCCCTGCCGGTCCCCACCCAGGTGTCAGGGCTCCTTCCCTCCCTCGCTTCCTGTGGCTTCCACTCCCCTGACCCTTTCCTGCCTCGTTTACAACTTCCCCAGAATGGGCCTTTTCCTGGGCCAGGACATAAATTTGAATTCATTCAAATGTATTGGGCTGGAGTGGAATTGGGGGAAAAATTTTATAGGCTTCACATCTCATCCCTTTTCCATGATTTATTTTGCTCCCTAGCACATATCACCCAAGTTATTTGCTTTATTGTCTGTCTCCCCTACTTGAGCATGTGAGCTCCACAGGGCAGGGATGTTTGCCTGATTCCTCACTATTGTATCTCCAGAAGTTAGATCAGTGCTTGGAAAAATACTCATTGAATGAATGAATGAATGTATGTCAGTGCCCAGATAATTGCAGCTTTGGAGGTAAGAGTTTTCTCTCCTGCATGCCCAGCCCTTCTTCCTTTCCCTGTCTTCCGTGTCTTCCCAGCTCTCCTCTCCCCACCCCTCCCCAGGCCCTAGTGCACAGAGCGTTAGCTCATTAAGGTCCCACTTTAAGCTCTAAGGACCTTGCCTTCCTGGGGGCCAGGAATATGCTTAGAACACACAGTGTAGCATCGTAACAACCAGTGGACATTTGCCTACATCTTTACAGTCACCGAATCAGCCTTTCCCTTTAGGCTCCCATGCCGCTCGGCCCAGTCCAGTTCAATATGCTGCCTGAACCTAAGGGCTGGTGCTTGGTAGACAGAAATGTGCTATAAAGAAGTTTTCATGTAGATAAGCTATATTTGAACATGTGATGGTTGATTCATACAGAATGGAGGTTTTTATTTTCTTTGTCCCTTTCATGGTGGTAGCAGGGGTGAATTTTAAGAAGGTGACAAATATCTCTTAAGAACATAAGTCTGCCCCATAGAGAATTTCTGTGGATTCAATTGCATTATTTAACGTAGTTTTTCCATCAACCAGCCCCAGCCTGAAGCTTGACAATTAGACTAGCTATTAACTAGACTATTAACTAGCTAGTAACTATTAACTATATAGTATCTAGACTAGCTACTCTACAACTATCCTAAAACTACTTTGTCAACTGCACTTTAATTTACAAAGATTATTTTTAAACCCATTCTTTTGACTGTCCTAATGATTATCTGTTCCAAAATATCCTTTAAAGAAAACTTGGTTTTATATGCTTACACATTTTTCCATAATAGGTCATTTTAATGATTAAACTTGACCCTTCTGACAGAAAACAGATCAACGGATTCCTAGGGATCGGGGAGAGGTTGGCTGCAAAAAGGCATGAGGGAGGAACTGTTCTGCACCTTGGTTATGGTGGCAATTGCATTTATTAAATTGCCGGGTGAGTTTTTCACTCAATGTCAAGTATACATCAATAAACATGACTTTTCACTCAATGTCAAGTATACATCAATAAACATGACTTGAAAAGCAAAAACAAAACCCAGCCTTTCTATGATCACCTGTGAAGTAACCACAGCAGGTTTTATTTTCCCTACTTTATAGATGGGGAAACTGAGATCTGGAGAGGGACAGCCCAGTCTCCTGCATCCCTTACATGGCACAGCCTGCAGAACTTTATCCATCTGGTCACAGCTTCAAAAGGAAACACAAAACCATCAGCATTTTGATTTCCTCGGCAAGATCCCGTCAGTCCCTGACTCACCCCTCCTTCAAACACCTTAGCAGGAAGCGTGGGACTCCAGAGATGGGCTGGATAGCAGGAGGGACTGACATGAGTCACACCGCAGGAGTACCTGTCTGGGTGAGCCTGGGGTCAGGGTACTGCTGGGTGGGAGAGGCTGACTCAGAGAGACAAGCATCAGGTGGGCGGCCGCACTGTGGTGGTAGAGTGGTGGGGCTGACCCGGGGTCTTCCAGCCCCTGTGGTCCGCAAAGCAGTCACTGGTCAAAGTGACTCCCTGTCCTGCATTCTTTTCCACGTGGTCCTCGTCCCCAACCTGTACAGGTACTTCCTAAGCCCCAATAAATCAGAGGCAAACAGTGCCCTAAGATGGCAAAACAGGCAGAGTCCCTGGCAAACCAGCCAGGCAGGTCTGCTGGTGCCAAGGTGGAGGGTGGAGCAGCAGGTCGCCTCCAGCCAAGGAATGATGCTGACAAATGCCAGGGCCTGTTTAGGGCTGTGGGGAGAAGCCAGATCTAATCCCCCCTGGGTTTGATCCAGAGCTGGCTCTTAGGATCTGGGGGCTCTGCAGACGGCTTTGAAGGTGGCTGGTTTGGAGGCAGGATTTCACTGGACTTAATTACTGGTGGTTAGAAGCAATTTCACCAACTGTCAAGGAATGCGCACCAGAGGGGAGCTCGTTAAAAAAATACAGGCTGCCCCAGGCCTAAAAAATCAGAATCCCTAGGGAAGGGTTAGGGGCCCACATCTTTATTTTTAAAAGCCCTCTCAGGTAATTGTGATGCTCAGAGGTTTGAAAACTATTACCTAGTCTTTAAAGAGCATGTCTTTGGAAACTTCAGCCTTTGAGTCTGCTACTTAGCTGGGTTCCTTGGGAAAGTGACATAACCTCTCTGAACTTCATTTACCTCATCTGGAAAATGGGGATAACTATGGACCTCTTAGGGCTGCGATTAGGAATACACGCAAATATGCGTAATCGTCATACTGAGCTGAGCATTAGGCTCTGGGCCTGGCACAGAGTGTGTGCTCTGAGTGTTAGCTGCTACGATTGCTATTCCAGCCGAGAGCCCTTGGGATCCTGGGATGAACACGAGAGGCTGAGGGAGCTGAAGGTCAGGAGAGGATCTGCTCCCATTCAGAGTTCCTGATGTTGAAAAGGAGAGGCTGAGTGGGAAGGGAGCAAAGCTTCCTGCTCACAGGAATCAGCAGAGAGGGGCCAGGGCCCAGGCTGTTCGTTTCCAGCCTGGCTGGTAGGTCAGGCTCTTGGGCAGACACAACTTAGAAGCAGCACAGCCGAGGCTGTGGTTAACACCTTGGGCTTGAGGGTTCTGAGAGGTCTGGGTTCAAGTTCTAACTCCTCCTTTTATTAACGCACAAGCTTGCATGAGATACTCAAGAGAGGCCGGCCCTCCGCTGGGCAGGCAGGACAACACACCACTGGCCCTGCTCTGGAGTCGGCAGCTCAACCACGTATTGGATCTGTGACCTAGATCATGTCACTCCTCCCTTCCGAGCTTCAGTTGGGAAATGGAGAGATGCCACCTGACCACACTCCTTGGTTGGGAGGTGCCAAGGAGGTACTGCACGAGAAGAGCCCATCACACTGCCTGACCGACCAGTTTCCTAAATGCTGGTCACTACTACCGTCAGCCCCTTCTCTGGGGGAACTTTGGTCTTTGACCAGTTTGGGTGTCTGATTGTCACCTGCCCACCTGACACTAGCCGCATCTGTCATTGCAGTGCTTCTGGGGCATCACCGTGGAGGGTGGAGCCTTGGTATCCTTCCCCCACCACAGAGGGCCCCTAGGCCCCTGGCCTGGCTTTCCTTCCCTCCCTCCCTCCCTGAAATGTCCCCTTCCTCTGAGCAAAGCTGAAGTGGGATGCTGTTTGGTGACACTGCCTTCATGAGGACAAGGCTGCCCAGAAATGACCCTTTCCTGTCCCCAGGGATGATGAGAACGTGGGGTGTATTGCATTACTGTTTTGAACTCCTGTAGGTGCTGGATGATAAATATTTTTGAGTTAGGTTTACAATGGATATGATCAAACAAACTATGTTTATGCACTTCCATGTCAGAGTTATCCTTGGTGGCCTGCTTTTCAGCCCACAGGGGCACGCCCTGCGAAATGGCGCATCACTAGTCATGCCTCACAACCAGTCCGGGAGCAGGGTGTCACTTCAGACTCCTGGGAAGGGCGCTGCCAGAGAGAACCCCCTCTTCTATGAGGGGCGCTCTGAGGATATGGTCTGTGGCCAGTGGCTCAGCAGGCCAGGAACTTCCTAGCAAGGCCCTCCCAGAGGTTGCTTCCTAGGACATCGGGTGCATTTCTGAGCAGACACCGCCCCCTTAAGGTCTGTGCCTGCCATGACACCCAGGAGGAGAGCCCTTGCACAGGAGGGAAGTGGGCCCAGATAATTTTCCTTCCAAGCATCCTCCTTAGACGCCGTAAGATTGGCCCAAAGGGCAAACATCTTTGGAGCACTGCACAGTGCATTCATTCTCAACCGGAGAACATGGGAATCTTCCCTTGTTCCATTTGCTGCTTTCCAGAAGGGTTGCAACTCATTGAGGCAGCCAGAAAACAGGTACATGGTAGCCACAAGAGGCCTTTGGACTCTGGGTTATCTGTAATGTGTAAGACGCAAGAGCTTTAGGGAGCAAGTGATTTCCAATAATTGGAATTAGGGTTGAGAATTAAGGTTAGAATTAAGCAAAATGACTAGTACAGAGTTAAGGGGAAAAGCACAAAAATATCCTGCTACAAAATGTAAAATTAGATACCAAAAAGGGGATGGGAGAAATAAAGAAAAGAGAAGAAAGGGGCCACTACAGGAAGGCCAGGAGTAACTAGCTAGACTGAGGACTAGTAGAGGCATGGAGATGTGAGTCCTATAGCTGCTGTACTGGTGACAGTATAATAATATTGCACACTAGGTAGAGAAATGGGAAAAAATTAAAAAATCCACCCATAACCCTACCATCTTAAACGTGCATCATTATTATTTTGCTGCATTCTATTATTCTTCCTGTGTGCCTGCTTTTAATGTATTTATTGGATTTTTTAAATCATAAGTTAAATCATAAAACACCTGAGTTGCAGAAGATGAAAATGGCACCCGTCTTCTCCCCACCAATAAAATAAACCCAAAATGCAGAGCTGGGTTACGACTGTGTTTGGAAGAGGCTCTCATCTCACACCAAGAATCTGAATGAACACAGTCAGTAAATCACTGTTCCTAGTCACTCTCCAACCAGACTGAGTCCCTCAGTGCCTGCCCTGGGCCTCTAAGTTCTCTGCCCCTGGGCCTTTGCAAATGCCATTTCCCTTTCTGGAATACTCTCTGTAGATAAAATGAGAGTTCCTGTGGCCAGGATTCTCACCTGGCCCTGGTTGACTAGCTCACTGCACACCTGTGGGCAATACATGGCTGTTGACTCTATATAAAGAGCTCCACCCAGTGCTCTGTGCATGACAGGGTGGCAGGGCTGCAAAACTGTAGGAGAGCAGAGCAGAGGTTGAGGTGGTGGCAGCACCAAGGACAGAGGCCCAGAGAATGGCTGTGCAGACAAAGGGGCCCAGAGGCTGAGATCGGCTTGCTGCATGCAGACTCACTCTGAGTGAACGGGATTTTAGTGACTGACCTGCCACCTGGAAATAAAGTTGGGTATAACCCTTTCACCCCAAGAACGTTTTGCTGTCGTTTTCTTTGGTCACACTGAATCCATAGAGAACTTGCCCGGGGCTGAAACCCATTGGCAAGATATTTTCCCACAATCTTGTCTGGCTGATCCCTTCTATTGTGCAGGCATCAACCTCTCTTCCCCTGGGAAGTTTCCCCAATGTCCCAAATTGGTTGCGTTCCTCTCAGATGTGTCCCTTGACCCCACCACAGCCTTTTATGACTGTATTCTCATTGCGCCATAGTTCCCTGACTTACTGCGGGCCAGTGAGCAGAGACCCGGGGACCGTGGCTCCTCAGCTCCTTGCACTGAGACACTGCGTGGACAGAGGCAAGACAAGCCAACTGTCCATGTTCAGAAAATGGGGTGCAATGGGGGAAACACCCAGGAAGCAGGTCACTTCTCCAGGTCCCACCCACTCCGAGTGTGGCGCTTACCTTTCTCCTCCTCCTCTGTAAACTGATGTGGCCTGGTGAGTTGAGAGGCGCGGGGCGCGGGGGAGGTAATAGCCGTGTAGGATCTAAGAAGCGTGAGAATCTCAGAAGTCAACCCAGTCCTGGATCCTTCTCCAGCTGGGTGGCTAGCTCTCCCCTGAGACCTAAGGAACGGGATTGGGGCCACATTCAATCAGGTAAATACTGAGTGTGTGGGGTCCAGGTGGGAGAGGCATCGTTTGAAATGAACCTGACAGTCTTGTCTGCAGAGAGCACCCGTCTGGGAAGAGCCCAGTGCAAGGCCTCGTCGGGTGGGGCCCAGGTTAGAAGCCTGGGGTTAGGTGCCAGAGACCCGGGCTCTTGGCTCTGCCACTGTGTGACTTTTGACAAGTTGCTTCTACTCTCTGAGCTTCTGTTCCCTCTGCTGCAAAATGGGGATGATAACTGGACCTATCTCATTAGGTGGCTGTGAAAACCCATCGACATCATGATGTGGACATATAGGAAATGGCGAGAAAAGCCAAGAGATGGGAATGCATGCTGGCTTCCACGGTGAGTACAGAGGGTGTATGACGCTGGTTGTCTGGAGCACCCTTTGGGGCTAGGTACCTGTGGCTGAGGTGGCAGCTCATCCCCATCAAACATCCACATGCCCACCCTCACCTCTCGGTCTCCCTCAGTATGTTCGGGATACATGACTAGTTCTGGACAATTGTGAGCACAAGAGACACCTGCCGATGAGGGGATGCATCAATTCAGAGTTGATGTGTCTCGTCTACCTCTCTTTTCCCTGCTGTGGTTCCAGCAGTGAGGCTCAGCAATGTAGGAGGGCTACCCAACCCTCCTCAGACTTTGTGAGACAAACAACCCTTTATTGTGCTCAACCATGGAGATTTTGGGGTATACATGGAGACAAAGTTGCGTATAATCCTCATGTATACATTACAACAGTTATTTCCACTTCTAGAGGCCAAGTCAGTTGCCTCTTGTAAGGGGCAGAGCTGAACTCAAACCCAGGTCTGACTCCTGTGGCTGGATTTTAGAAACCATTTTAGCTCATGATAGCCTGTCCCCAAACACTGCTAATCCATCTGAAACCTGAGGGGAATATCCAGCAGGGCCAGGGCCAGAGAGGCAGCTGGCAGAGTCGGAATGCTTAGCAAGTTCAGTGGGACACCTTGCCATTCTGGATCGCACCGAGCAGCCGCAACACCTGTTTCACCTCTGCCATGACGGTTGCTCACAATAAGCAACATGCGATGAAGAAATGACAACAGCTCACCCTTGCTGGGTGGAGGATTACAACTGAGGACTGGAACCCACATTCTGTAGATTGATTTACGAGGGAAGACTTCCTCCCAAGGCCTCTACTTCGCTCTCAGCTGTTACCCACTTGTTCCCCAACCCAGAAAGGCAGTATTGCAAGCCAGAAGCTTTAGAGATAGATGTGGGCTTAAAACCCTGCTCTGCCACCTATTGGCTGTGTGACCCTGGGCAAGCCATTGTGCTTCTGAGCCTCAATCTCCTCATCTTTAAAATGGGATAGCAATACTAATTCCTCATAGGATGGTTTTAAGCATTGGAGATTGGCTGTCAGGCACTCAGCCCAGGCCTGGTATGGGAAAACTTGTTACAACCCAAGGCAGATTCCCTTTCTCCCAGGTAAGATTAGGGGCAATCAATGGGGAGAGAGTCAGTGCAGGGATTCACACCAAGATCGCCCAGACGTTTATTTACAAACAGGATACAGACACACCTCCACAGGAACCTCAGACATGGGAATACCACTTCTTTTCTGTCCCACTCTTGACTCAGCCTGGATTTTCTAGAACAGGGTTTCTGACACTTTCTTGCTAGAAAGCCTGGAGGTGTGCTGGTTGGGCTCTTGTGTCCACATCCCTGTCCCAGCTCAGTCATTCATGTCCAGGTCAAATTCTGGATACAACTCTTTGGTGGTGACACCTCGGATCATGGCTGAAGGGAAGGAAGGAAAGATGAATGTCTGGTGGGAGAAGAGGGAGGGAGGATGGCCAAAACCCTGCCCCACTGGGACCCACTTCTGTCCCTTCATCCTGACCCCCTAGTCAGTCAAGACAACCCTTCTCTACTGTGGGTCAGTCCACTGGCCACTGCAAAGTAGGCTCACTGAACCCTGATCCCGCTTTGCTGGAGTCAAACACAGCTCCCCTAGAATCCTTTCCCCACACAAAACAGCTAGAGTCACCTGCTGAAAATGTACACTTCTATTTGCATTTGTATCTGGGGCTTGCTGAAAACCCAGACTCCTTAGCCTGGCCCACATGCCATGCTGTTGCCCTCTGGTGCTGTTATCTCTCCTGCTCCTCAAAGGTTCTCCTTCCCTCGCATGGGAAGAGTTCTCCTCAGAGGCCTTCCTTGCCTGCCTCACCTCATCCCCACCTGCCACCCTGTTCAGACCTTCATGTTCTCCATCTCAGTCCTTCATGTCCTTCACGGCACTTGATGCTTTTCATAACCCATTGGTTTGTATTCCTTTACTCACTGACCATTCCCCTCCCCTGCCCCCAAAACGGAAGCATCTGTCCCATGGGAACAGAGACCTCTAAGTGTCTGATTCCCCAAAGTGTCCCCACATCCTACAGAGCAGCATAGAGGAGGTGCTCAATAAATAAAGATAAGTATCAACTAAACAAGTGAAGGGGATAGACTGCGTGCCCCGGGTCCCATGCCACAGGACAGGTGTCACGCTGGTTTCTGTCCAACAAAAGCTAATGGCTCTTAACCTCTAGGCTACAGCTCCGTCACACTCTTTTCTTCTTGGTCCCTGATCACCTTCCCCTCCTGTCTGTCTAAACCTCCCCCGTCTTGTTTTCTCCTTCCCCTCCTTTGGGAGCCACTCCCACTGAAGCAGGCAAGCCTCCCCTGCCATGGCATCCTGGATGCCGACGGGCAGTTCTGCAGCAGGTGCTGATCTTTGTGCAGCCCCCAGCCCCAGCCCTGAATGCTGGTCACTGGCCCCGGTGTCACTGGCTGCTGAATGTCAGGGGGTACACCAACCCGCGTGCGGTAACCGAAGTGAGGCCAGCTACACGTTTCTTTATCTCCTAGTCAGCCCAGACACATGGGGGTCTGCGCCTTGGCTAAGCCTCCTGAATAGTGAGACTGTATTCAAGGAGGAACACACTTTGAGCCACACGGAGTCACCTTGTGCTTTCTGCCGCTGTTGCAAGTCAGCCATGTGAGGGGCAAGGATGGTGTCTCCATCAGTCTGGGAACCCTAGTTCTCAGTCTAGCAGGTGGGTGAGCCTGTGCTCAAACCTGCCTGGGCCAAAACACCCCAGTGACTCAAGTAAGAGCTGTGCAGCTGCTTCGCTAGGGGGCCAGGAGGGCAGGGGCACTCAGGGAGTGGGGCAGCTGAGGAGGGTGGGAGGGCTGCTGGCAAGTCGGAAGACCCAGGGGCAAAATCTAACCACCCGGGGGTCTGGGGAGTCCCTGCGGCCGCTGGCTGCTGCCCCGGAGTTCTGCCGCTCACCGAGTTTTCCCAGCAGCATCTGGCCCACATCCTTAATGTCATTATACTCATGCAGCTGTGCGATATGGTCCTCCAGTTCATCTACATTATAGCCTCTGGGGTGAGGGATGGAGAGAGAGAGAATTGTTAAGAAAGTGATGAGGATCCAACGTTCAGAGTGTACTGACACATCTATTTAACAAATGTTCACTAAGAGCCTGCTCGGTACTCAGCACTGGGGACATAGCGATGGCAAGATAGACCTGCCCTCATGGAGCTTACAGTAGGGGCAGGGTATCTGCCCAGGCCTTCCTCCTGAAAATACTCCCCACGCCCTTAGAGAGGGTCCCCAACCACAGGTACCACGTGACCCTGCCAACAGCTGAGGGATTCACAGATGGGCACATGAGTGGCAGTCAGATCCCCTCAGGTGTGAAATGTACATCAAAGGCTGCTGAGTCTGTGCCCTGTGGCTGCAGCAAAGGGTGTGGGAAAACCTGGGAGCTGTGGAAAAGCCAGCCTTCCCTAGGACTGGAAAGCCCACCTGTAGAGAGAACAGAGTCCGAATGCGCACGGCAGCAGAGGCAGAGAATGGGGGCCCCACAAAGACTGGAGAGCAGTAACTTCCATCCCAGATGGCTTTCCGGTTCCTCGATCCTGACCCTCCGCGCCTGACCACACCCTTCCCGAGGGGCTGCTGAGATGCCCTGAATCCAAGTGCACGGTGCCGTTTTTACTAAACTACTATGAACTGGGCTTCAGTTACAGGGCACTAGTTAAAAGGTATCTCATGCACACTGAGGAATCCAGTAAGACTTACTCAGACATTAACTGGGCGATCTCCTTGTCCAGCATGGCCCTCTTCTCCTTCAGTTTCTCAGTATCAAGGTGCAAAGAATCCTCGCTGGCCCCATCAGCCTGACCAGACTTGGGAGATGGCCGCTGAGGGCACGAAAAGCCATTAGCCGGACTGACCAATTATTCACAAGGCAGAACCCACAAGCTGTCCCCCAATGGCCACCCCCACCTCTGCCTGGTCTCGGACACCTCACGCCCTGACCAGGACCCCCTCTCCAGCTTCCTTTGGAGTTAGATGTGGCCCTGTAACTGAGTTCTGGCACGTGGCACTCAACCAGAAATGGTATATGCGAATTGTCTGGGAATTGTCCTTCCAGGGAGAGGGCATTCCTTTCTCTGGCCTTCCTCCGTCCTGCCGGCTGGAATGTGGAAGTAACATTATCTTCAATGTCGAGGTAGAAACCACACTGAAGACAGAGGCATGGTCCCTGCAGACTATTTAAGGCACCATCATTTGGGGGTTTTCTTTCACTCCCAGCCAAACCCAATCCTAACTAAAGGGCCCACCCTGGCCCCTAGTCTGACCCCAGTGAATCCACTTCAGGTCTACCTCTTGGTTTCTCTTCTCAAGGCCAGGATGTCACTGGATTTATCTCTATGGATAACAAAACCCTTCCCTGGGGCTACAGTTCATTTTTGTCTTCTCTGCCTCGAAAATCTGTGAACACTGCCAGGGTCACTGCTCGTTTCTGGAAATGTGTGTTGGGTCGACTTTCTGCATGTGACACAAGGAGAGACTGAGGAAGACAGGGTTCTTATTAGGACAGAGGCTTTTAACCAGTCAGTCCACAGTGAGTAAGCGCTATCTTCCAGGCGCTGACAAAGGCTACAGGGGTTCAGCAACAGGTAAGACAGCAAGCCTGCCCCCTGCTTTCAAGGAACATATAGCCTAGTCCCAAACACAAAACCCCCAACAGTCAAGCTTTGCCTCCAGATTATCTCCATTTATAGCTCTACTCACAGGTCACACTTCATCAGAAAGGCTTCCCTGACACCCTGTCTTAAATGGTCACTACACCACCTGACACAGAACACATTTCACGAAAAACATTATTTTCATTGTTGGCCTTACACCACTAGAATGTAAATTCCACGAGGGCAGGGACTTTGTTTTGTTCACTGCTGACTGCTCCGTCTCCAACAGTAACTGACCCACAACAGGCACACTCAGTACAATTTGTCTAATAAGTGAGTGGCAAATAGTCAACTAACTATAACTTCGAAAAGCGCTTTGAACTTGCAGCACAGTGCGCTAAGAGAGTGTCTAACAGAGGGACTGGACTGAGCCAGAAGTGGTGGTAGGGCTTCTCTAAGAAAGCTCAGCCGTAAAGGCTGAAGAGGCATCAGCTTGGCAAAAAGCTGGAAGAGAAGTATTCCCGGCCCCTGGCGGCACAGCCAAATGCCCTGAGGCAAGAGAGCGCAGGTGCTCATTGGGAACCAGAGTGGTTTCCCTGCGGGGCGGGGGCGTGGGGAATGGGTGAGGGAGGGGATAGAGGGAGGGGATGTGAAAAAGGACAAAATCAACCACCTGGGGGGTGTTGTCAGGACGGAGGAGGGACAGAGCCCACTTGAACAGCCTGGGGGGCATCACTGACAAAGGACAAGGCAGGACAGGGCAGCTTCTGCTTCGAAGCTTGGTGGGCAGAAGGTAAGAAGGGCAAGGGCTGCGAAATGACCTGGGGTAGGTCCGCAGCGGGGAAGGACCTGGAGAGGGCTGGGGGCGCGTCAGCTGCTCTGAGGAGGGCAGAGGAGGGCTGCTAGCAGCAGTGGCTAACACGGCGGAGGCCTATAGGGGACAGGCATACTCACAGGGGATCGGAAGGCCCCGCGGAAACTTTTGGAAGGTCCTGGTTGAGTCCTGGAGAGGCATCCAAGGGGAAAAAAAGGCTGATTGGACCTAGAGTCCGCTCTGGGAGGAAAGCGGTTTATTGTGGGGGTGTGGGAGGAGGAGCAGAGGGAAGCAGCAAGCAGAGAGCCGAGCTGGATCCAAGTGGGAAGACGGCAGATCCACTCCCGGGATCCTCAGGGAAGGGGAGATACTGATGAGGGTGGGGAGTGCGCGGAGGACTGGATGGGGTTCTGTGGAGGTGATCCTCGGGACGAGACAGTCTAGGTAGAGCTAGGGGGTGTCAGGAAAGGGACTCTGAAGGGAAGCGCTTTCTCCCTGCCGTCCGCTCCTCGCCCACCTCCTGAGCCCTGGGGTCCGGGGCCCCCGTCTTGGGGGAGTCTGCAGCGCCGGAGAGTCCAGGGCGGGGGCGAGAGAGCGGCCTCTCAAGTCCTCCAGGTAACTAGAATCCTGCAATGGAGACCAGGAACGGGCAGTGAGCTGCGCGCGCACCCTGAGACCTCAGGCCCCGCCCCTACGCCCCGAGATGGGCGGGGCCAGCGGTTGCACGCGCAGCTTTCATTGCACCCGTCCTCCTGGCTGAGGGCGTTCTGACCACGCCCTCTCCCTTTGATCTTCCCATACGCCAATAGGATGCGATAACTTAGGCCACGCCTACGACGCTGGTTCCTAGACCCGCCCTGGTTCCACCTTTTCTGGCTCATTTGCACAGCGGCGCGGTGGCTGCCGGAAGCAATTCCGCAGTGGTTGCCGGGATCGCGGTGATGTGGCCCCCCCGCCCATTCCCCCCTCCCCGTCCCAGGATGTCGGAAGAAACCCGACAGAGCAGATTGGCCGCGGCCAAGAAAAAGGTAAAACGTGCCGGGTCGCGACTCCCTGATTCAGCCCGAGGCTCCTCCGACACCCGGGCCGTGGCCAGAGTCTGTGCTGCCCCTGAGGCGCTCAGGGCGAGTCCCTCGGCGCCCCTCGGCGCCCCTTGCAAAGTCTTCTCAGCCAGTCCCGCCCCCCACCCCCACCCCCGGCAGCCCAGCCCCCGCCCTCGCCCGTCGCTCCCGGGTGACTTTGAGTTGGTGACCCCCGGGGCTCCCTGCCTTCCAGGCTCGGCCCTTGCCTCCTGCAGTCCAGAACCGGACCTCCTGGGCTCTCGGGGCTCCCGGTCTCCAAGGACCTCGGTCCTGGCCCTGTGCTCCCCTCCCCCACCGCGGAGCGGAGGCACGGGCGTCGGTAGGGAGGAGTGGAATGCAGTTACGTCACAATCCCTCTTGGAACTGTCATTACCGTCGGGAGCCCGGTGTTTGATCTTACGACCCAGACCTCGTTTCACCCCCATTCTGGTTTCTTTGGTCGCGGCACAAATTTACAGCCTAAAAGGGACCCGGGACTATGGGACCTAGGTCGGAGGTGTATCAGTCTCCCTTAACTCTAGACTGTACCCCATCCTTAGACACTGACAGCCAAAAAAGCCTGCACGTTAGCAGTGATCTCAAACGTTGACACCCCTGAGTGACAAGAGGAGAATGTGTTTTATTTGGTTTTCTTCCAGGTTCTTACTCCCCAGACTCAAATTTTTAATCTGAGTTCTCTACCTCACATTTAATTACTTCTGATTCTGGGACTAGAGTGCCCCTCAGTCAGTGCTCTTTGGAGTGACATCTTCCTATCCTCTGTGGAACTGATCCCCAGGAGACCAAACTTCACAGTTGGGAATCATCCTCAAATCATCTCCACATGGGGTGCTCTGAGTGCCACAGGATAAATGTGGGACTGAAGCATGGGTTTTGCTTCATTCTTTTGAGAGGGAAAAACCTTTTATATTAATGTACTTAGGATGACATGTACATGGTTTGTGAGATTATAATAGACTTCTTTCTGCTCGGGCTGTCCTCCTCCTCTTATGTCCCCAGATTCACTCGGGATGTACCTTCACTGCCTTCTGCCATCAGAATGTATCTGATGTAAAAACTTGAGAAGTACTTGTGTACACCTCTAACAGAGTCTGACGTCTAATTACTTAAATGTGCATTTTCTACCTCTTCTGGTTTTGTTCCCTGGCAGCTGCTGATTCGTGGCACAACACCAGAACTCAGAGTCAGAAGACTGAGTTTCAATTCCACTGTTGCCTTTTTTTTTTTCAAAGCCACATTATCAGTGCTTTTCTTCAGATATTAAGTGAGAATTACAACAACTTGTAGGCTTGCTGGTGCCATTAAGTCAGATGGTGATTATAAGAGTATTTTGAAAATTGTCAAGTGGACCATGAATATAGGGGCTTATAGTTCTCATGAATTTCATGCTTTTCCTTTCTGCAGCTGAGGGAGTATCAGCAGAAGAACAGCTCTGGTGTTTCTGCAGGAGCTAAGAAGAAAAAGAAGGCTAAATATGGCAGTAGCCCTGAGACCACCACTTCTGGTGGTTGTCACTCGCCTGAGGATGTGAGTCTGGGCTGGCCAGGCTTCTGGGGATAGGGGTGCTCAAGGGGCAGTGGAGGGTAGTGGTTAAAATTGTGGAAGAAGTGTAGGTACAGGTTTGAATCCTACCTCACCCTCTGCTAGGGTTATGATTTTGGGCAAATTTTTGAGCTCTTTGGGTCTCTGTTTCTATATCGGTATCAGGGTGATACTGTTTTACACTTAGGAAGTTTAAATGAGATTATTGTTTTATTTATATTAGTCCCTTAGTACAGGGCCTACTGCAGGGTAAACATTCAGTAAAGGGTAGTTGCTGTTTGACTTACTGATCTGGTGATTTTCCTCATCTCCAACATCAAGGGGAAGCCAGGCAATGAAAAAGGCCATTTGCCATCACGCTTCCTGTAGGAAGCACCAAAAGAGCCCCAGGGTGTGGTAAGCAGAGCCCGGGGCTCTTGGGTTAGGAGATGATCGGAGTTTTGAGTCCATCTTTGCCACCAGCTTGCTGGGCAACCTCAGGAAAATCACTTCCTCCCCTGGCCCTCAGTCTTCTCATCTGTAAGATGATATTGTTGGATCAGATCAGTATCTTTCAAACTTATCTTTTAGCTGGAACCCCCCTTGTTCGGGTGAACCCTTACTTGGAAGTCTGGTTTTTTAAATGGAGATGGGGTTCTGGAACCCTGCTGGGTTCATCCCCAGCACCCTGGGCCTGAGGGAGAGGGTCTAATGAGCGAATTAAGGAAAGAGCTGCATTGGTCGGTTGACTACACTCTGTGGCTGCCTCACTCAGGGGACCTTTCCATCTCTTTGTTTATGTTGATTTCTGCCCCAGGCAAGGCAGCAAGTGGCTGTTGGGACAGCCCAGGCCATGATATTGATCCCTTCTCTCTCTTCTTCAGCATTCCATCTCCCTGAACCCGTCTCTTCCTTCCTTCCTTGACTCCGGTACCTCTCTCTAAGCCACTTTCTCTTTCTCCCCCCTGCCCTTGTTTTCCTTTTTCGCCTCCTGTAGATTCAGGACATTCTGAAGGTGCTGGTGTCCGACCTTAACCGCTCCAATGGGGTAGCGTTCCCCCCATTGGACAAGTGGAAGGTGAGGCAGTGCCGAGAGCCCTCTCTGGCTTGCTCTCTCCCAGCTGTGCATGCCCCTGAGGCTTCTCTGGTTTGGGGGATACTTCACCTCGGGCTTACTTTGTGTTGCTGTCATTAACCCTCAGCCTGTTCATGTCTGCTTTTTCACCTGCTTGGTTGATTGGGTTTGTTTTTTTTTTTCCTTCCCTCACATCTTTTATCATCTTGGAGAAGGTGAGACACACCTTGAAGGTTAAGGTAATTTGGGAATAGTTTCCAGAGCAGGTGTGTGGGATTTGGGCTTTTTGAATCTCAAGTTGGAATGTCTAGTGGTGTATCAGACTAGGATTAAATAAAAGCAGACCTGTGGGTCTTGCCCTTTGGGCACCTGTCCCCCACAGAGAGACCAGATAGCAGTTTGTGATGTTTTGAGTTGATGTATCCATTTTGCTTTGAGAGTAGGTAATATAGGGCTTAGAGAAAGGGAGTTTACATTACAGTTACACGGAATAAGTTTGTTTTTTTCAGAGGAACTACCTGTAAAGCACGTGGGGTTAACCCAGCAGCTCAGTGAGCAGGATGCTTTTTCCCTGCTCTTTGAAAAACCATCTGGGCTCTTGACTGGATTCAGTGGGCCCTTGATGGCAGAGGCACTTTGCTAGGTGCTGGAGAAAACAGGTGAGCTAGGTAAAATGTACACTGGATGCAAGGTAGAATGTGACCACATTCCACTTAGCTGCTGGGGAGGTTGGTTCTAAAGAGACCCCAGGCTGGGGGTGGGGGTGGGGTGCTATTTAAGGCTGTTTGGAGATGAGAGGTGGGTAACATTCCCATGGAGAGTGGGGGAAATGGGAGTCCCAGGCTGAGGGCATGGTGCAGGTAACAGCTAAGATTATGAAACCTTCCACAGAGGCAGAGAGCCAGGCTGGGAGAGGAACCTCCGGATGTGATACTGGGCCCTCCTCGGGGGACTCCTGCCAGGCCAGAGGAGGGGTTGAAACAGGGCCAGGTCCTGCTGGAGATGGGCATGGGGAGAGGGCTGGGAGTAGGCGCTGTTGGTTACCTGGCATTAGGAGCCTTTCAGTCGTCAGGACCGCTCACAGCCCGCCGGTCAGGTCTGTCCAGGTGCTGTGACTCACCTTAATGGCTCAGACGGGACGCCGAGCGGCACTGGGCGGGGAGCGCTGCCCGAGAGGAGTTCTGAAGCCAGCTTTGCCCCAGGTTCTGAGACTGTGCCTGCATCTCTCTCTTCTGGAAATGAAGATCCGCATCCCCATATTCCCTTCTTGTTGTTTTGAAGTCCTCTCTATATTAATAACTGTTTCCCCCTTGAGTTTTCTATTCCAGTGATGTAAGCCTGTGATCGCAGTATCATGGGCGGAGCTGATGGCATTTCCAGAAATGGGGAATAATGGAGAAGTTAAGATAAATTTTTAATGGAATGGGACATTTGAAGGTAGTGGGCAATGGCTTTTTAAAACCCCATACTTAGCTAAAGACTTAAAATTATGAAATAATTGAGTTGCTCACAAAATAGTCATGTGTATTTAAGTAAGTCTTCTGAAAAATACTTTTTTCCCCCTCTGAGCTTTCTTGTATCTAATGCTAGAGATCAGTGGGAATCCTCAGAGCTTGCCAGGACCCGTGGCTAGGAGTGCCCACCTCCCCCAGAGTGTCATGACAGGCCAGCTGCTGAACCCCTGCTCTTACCTATTAGATTTCTGTTGTGCAGGTTGGCAAGGCAATGCCAGGTTCTGGGGCTAAAGGTCACAGCATGGGCAGTAAACGTGAACAGCTTCATTCAGGCTCAGCTACTCAGGTTCTGTGGCACTTGTTCTAAGGAAGGCAGTAATTTGGGTGTTCAGAGGCGAGGGTTGAGGGGTCTAGAGAGCAGGCGGCCCCTTCCCCCAAGAGGTGCAGCCTCTTCCTCTCAGACCCAGCTCCGTGGGCCAGGCCCTGGCTCCCTGCGGCTCTTCCCTCGCCAGGCTTCAGCTTGTGAGCCATCCTCCCCATGTCTGCCCATCTGGCCTGTTGGACATTAGGTCTCTAGAGCTAGAGGCTTAGACTGAGTGTCAGGCCTGAGTATGGAGACAGGCAGGGTGGGCTCTGGTTAAGCAAGTGAGTCCAGTAGGGAACAGGGAGTGTCTTCTCCATGGTTCCCGGTCCTCGGTCCTAGGATTCTTCTCCATTCTCCAGGACTCTGAGAGTCAAAGGGTAGACATCTTACCTCTGGTTCCGCCAGTTGTTTCTTGGTTGGGTAGGTGTTTTGGAGCTCAGAGGTTGGGGTGTGGGAAGTGGCCATGGTTTTCTTTTTGCCACCAGCAGCAGGGAGAGGCCTCTAGTTGGGCAGCTTCTTTCCCAGAAAGGTCTGAGTCAGGCAAACACAGCCGGCGGCTGGGGGGAAGCCGGATGGAAGGAGAGAGAAGAAGGAGGCCAAGGGCTCCGCTGTCATCCCCAACACACAGCCAGGGCTCCGGGCGAGGCTCCGTCTGAGGCACAGACTGGCTTTCTGGAAGGACAGTGTCTGACTTCTCCCTGACTTGGCGCACCTTCCTTCCACCCGCTGTGGCTGCCTCAAGTCAGAACCGAGGACTGTCTTTTGCTGAGCTCCAGGCAGAATGAGGCCCCCATGTTCGCAAAGGATGCCATGTAGTCCCTGCTTTGAGTGTTGGCCGTCCGGCAGGCTGCAGAGTGGCCCAAGGCCTGGGCCACCAGGGCCACACCCCAGAGTGGCTCCTAGCATGAGACTGTCACTGACTGCAGCAACACCTGTCCTACCCGCTGTGCACCCCTGCACCCATGGCAGAGAGGCACGTTCTTCCCTGCATGGTCGCCTAACCGCCTGCTCTATTCTGTGGCAGGCGCCCAAAGACCTCACCACTCCTGCTTTACCAACTGCTGGCGATGCCATACCACCTGGTGATGTCCCTTCCCCCAGTGCTAGTCTCCCTTGTGTCACTAGCATGGCGTCAACTCAGGTTTGTGCCTCCTTGTGCCCATGCCCCACTATATGCTCTCCCCCTCCTCCTTCCCAGAGGGCTGTGCTTACTATGGATCCTCTTCCCCTTTCTGCAGGTAGCTTGGTTCCAAGAGCCGCATGCACTTTCCAAGGACTGGGATGGGGGTGGGGGGCGGTGCAAGACCAGATTTTTTTTCCCTTAAGGTTCGGGAAGATGGAAAGTTGTTGTAATGAGCTTGGCTCACTCACCTCTGGGTGGTTCTTATTGGAAACAAATGACCACCTCATGTGTTTCTTCCCAAACAGAACTATGATGCTGAAAATGGTCCTTCTCTAATGGATGAATGCAAGTGAGTATCTCCTATGGGGCAGCAGTCCCTAGGCTGAGGGAGTCGGGGCAGGCCACTGCCCGTGAGCCCCTCTTCTCCATCCAGCCCCCTGCACTTACGATGCCTATGCTCATTCCCAGGTCTTTTTCATCTACCGAGAGCCTGCGACAGCTTTCTCAGCAGCTCAACGGTCTTGTGTCGGAGGTACCCCAGAAACCATAGGCCACAGGAGGGTAGGGGGGAAGGAAAATATGATAGAAAGTGAGGTAGAGATTCCCAAGAGGGAGGGAAGCTCCGGGGATCACTAGCTCGCTCGGTGGGTAATGTGTCACTGGTCACATCCTCTCTGGAGCTCCAGAGGCAGTGGTTGGATGGCGAGATTGGCTACCTCATTTTACCCTGCTGCAGAACGCACAGGCTGAGAACTGATGGGGAGGGCTGGGGAGGGAGAGGGAAGAACCAGGAGGAGCTGACGCAAGGGGTTATGGGAGGAGGGAGCCAGTTGGTGGGGAAGACAGGGAGTCAGAGGCTTCAGCGTTGGGGGTCAGATAGCATCTCCATGTGAGCCCTTTCATCTCTCCTAGTCCACATCCTACATCAATGGGGAGGGCCTAGCATCTTCTGTTAACATAAAGGACCTGGAGGTAAGTGGCCTAGACCCAGGCCCAGTGAGCCTGCAGGCCAGCCCCTCCACCTCCTCCCACAGCGGGGTCTGGGTACCCCGCTGCCACCAGGACAGCCCAGCAGCCCCCAGCCCTAATGATCGCTCTCTCTGCTTTCCCTCACCCACCCCCCTCCGACTCCTCCTCTCTGCATGCGCCTCAGAGCCGGTACCAAGAGCTAGCGGTAGCCCTGGAGTCCAGCAATCTAACAAACAAACAACTCAGTAGCAAGATAGAGGAATTGGTAAGAGTCCAGTGGGGTTCCCTGATTCTACGCTGCTCCAGTTTCCCCTTGGGGCTCTGAAGAAAGGGGCTGGGGGCCCCGGTGCCAAGGGAGATAGGGGTGCCGGGGGGCTAGGTCTCAGCTGGAGGGACCCTGTGCATGAAGCATGCAGCATGGCCTTTTCTGTGGCTGCCCTCTTTGCTGCCCTCCGCTCTCCTGCTTGAGTCTTTCCCCCGCTTGCCCTGGGCCTGTTGCCTCTAGAGGATGCACTAGCTTGACTGGTGTGTACCGGCCCTGACTTAGCCCCTCGCTTGCTCTGTCTTTAATCTTGGTCAATCACTCCTGGGCTTCAGTTTCTAAGGAGGTAGAATTACAGGGTGTCCAAGGTCCCTGTTGGCAACAAAAAGCCAAGATCTTAAAGGTCCTTTTCATTCCTACATCACTGCTATTAAGAGCAGAACTTGGCCTGTAGTATGTGCTCAGAAAATACTGAGTGAATGCCCTCTTCCAAATCACCAGCTGCCGGAAGGGCAGTCTTTGCCTTCTCAGGCTGCATGTCTAGAGGCGTGATGTCGTTCTCTCCTGGGCATCTGGGTCCACACTCTCCCTTCTGTAGCTGTGAGCAAAACCACCCGAGACCCAGTCTCTCTCCTTGGAAGCCTGAGGAGCGTTTATCTGCTCATGTCCCCACACACTTTCCCTTTAAGACCCCTTCCTGTCCCCCGTGCATTCCTCCCCCTCAGTCTGGGGAGCGCGGTCTCAGTCACCTTCCTCTGACTCTCTCCACAGAAACAGCAGAACCAAGACACACTGGAGCAACTAGAAAAGGTGATGTGATGTCCTTGTCTCCTTGCTCCATGGCTGATGGGGAGGATTCACGTGGCGAGGCCCATTCTTGTCTTGCCTGCTCCCAGCCTGGAGCAGTAAAGGGGTCTCTCCTCTCCCCTCTTTTTAGCCCCTTCGCCCATAATCTGGTCTCATGAGTGGGCCTGTCCTGAGCCAGTGGTGGCCTCCTGGGGGCATGTCCTTTGCTGTGTCATCTTTGCCTCCTCCCAGGAAGAAATGTTCCTTCTCTCTCTCCAGGAGAAGAAGGAGTGTGAGCAAAAGCGTGCGAAGGAGCAAGGGGCTCTGAGAGAGCAGCTGCAGGTGAGCGGGCCGTGCGGGGCTCTGCGTGCCGCTGGGAGACGTTCCTTTTCCGACTCTTCAGCCTTTGTCTGACTTTTCTCCCACAGGTTCATATCCAGACTATAGGGATTCTCGTGTCTGAGAAGACTGAACTACAGACAGCCCTGGCCCACACCCAGCAGGCTGCCCGGCAGAAAGCAGGTGGGGGCCAGATGCCCTTTCATCCCCCTGCCAGGCACCCAGGCAGGCCTTTGGTGGGATTCCTTCTTGGGGCCCCACTTTGAACTGTGTCATTCCAGGGGAGTCGGAGGATCTCGCCAGTCGCCTGCAGTCTTCCCGCCAGCGCGTGGGAGAGCTGGAGCGGACACTGTCTGCCGTGTCTAGGCAGCAGAAGCAGGCGGACAGGGTGAGGCCAGCAGCGTGCCGTCTCCCAGAGGCTCCGCCTCCCCCAAGGGAGTGAGCTCAGAGACCCCTCTGCGGGGTGGGGCATCCTGCCCCCCGGAAGGCAGCAAGGGCCATGTCCCACTGCTTTCAAGTTGCACATGTGCTGGAAGCGACCTGGGGACGAGTTGGTTGCCATGGGCGTGTGGCTGGGAGGCTGATGTCCAGAGGGAGCACTGGATGCAGGGCCTGTGGCCCGAGTCCCAGCCCAGCCCTCCCCTGGCTGTGGGCCTCGGCTGAGTGCTACGAGTTTGGGCTGCGAAGGCATAAAATGAGCATAGTATGTTTTATGTGTTACCACTTGTGTAGAAACTGGGGACAAGTGTGTGTGTGTGATACTGTGTGTCTGACAGGATTCACAACCCAGGGAGAGGAGCAGGGTGGCTGGGAGACAGGTCTCCTCTGTACCTTCTGAGTTTGGAACTGTGAATGTCATCTTTTCACAAAATGACCAAAAGATTACAGTACGAATTTCACTTCCCCCCTCCCAGGGTGCCCCTACCCCAGGGAGAAAATGTGGCTAAAGAATCAGATCTGGTTGTTCAATCCCAACTCTGATTAAGTGGTTTTAGGCAAGTGACTTAAACTCTAATACTCCTTGTTCATTGGTCAAATGGAAATAATAACAGTAACTGACTCTCTCAGATGCTGATAGTGAGGGTTACATAGGGCTGTTAGCAAGGTGCCTGGGAAAGTGCTCAGTAAAGTTTTACAAGTGATGGTGATGGTAGTAATAATGGTAGCAGTGTTCTCTGCCATCTCTGGGCCTCCGGTAGGCAGCTGTGAATTAGACTGCCCTACCTGTCTCTTCCACCCTTCCTGAGTTCTAATTCATTAAAAGCAGATGAGAGCATGGGCTTGGAAATACTTGGGAACAATGGGAAGTATGACCCAGTGGGACAGTGGTGCTGTGGGGTGGTTAACCATTGCTCCTGTTAGTCTGCCAGCTGCACCTTCTCCCTGCCCGGCCCTGACACCGCCTTTCTGTATTTGCAGTACAACAAGGAATTAACCAAAGCACGGGATGCCCTCAAGCTGGAGTTGTACAAGAACAAGTAGGCTGGGGAAGGGCGGGGGAGGGCTGGGGCCCGGGAAATGGGAGGCGTCCAAGTGAGCATGGCGAGGAGCCCGTGCAGGTTCAGACACGTGCAGGGCCAGGCTCTGGTTGTGCCATCAACTCCTGCTGGGGTCTCAGGCAACCTGTGTCCGCCCTCTGGCCTGCCACCTGTGACATTTGATCCTGGGATCCCTTCCTACAGCACCGTGGTGTGGTTCTGTGGTGAGGGTATAGGTTGATGAGCGGTCCCCTCTGTGTTTTATTCATGCCTTTCTCCTTTGCCTCTGGCCATAGCAAAAGCAATGAGGACCTGAAGCAGCAGAACTCAGAACTGGAGGAGAAGCTTCAGGTCGTGGTGTCGGAGAAGGCGGCTGTGCAGCTCGGGATGGAGCAGCTGCAGAAGAAGCTGGAGATGTCAGAGCTCCTGCTGCAACAGGTGAGGGGCTGAGCCAGTGAGTGTGGGCCCCCTCCAGCTGGGCCCAGGCCCTCCAGGGAGCACTGTGGTGGCCTCCAGCCAGGGGCTTGGAAATCTGGATCCTTGTTCTGGTCTTGCCATGGGATCCTCAAGAGATTGATACAAGTCTGCAGATTGGGGCCCTTTCCCAAGCCTATGGAATCAGACCCTCAGAGATAGAACTTTTTCATTTTTACTTTTTGAAGTCCTGGTTGTAAACAGATGATAGTTATAAAGCTAGCCCATGAGTTGTTTACTTCCTCTTGGGGGCCACGCCACTGGGTAGTCAGGATGCCTGGGTCCAAGAGCCTCTTCTCTTCCGGGTCCCTTTGCACTGCCTCGTGTTACTCCTTTCCACTGGGGTCACCGTAGGAAAAGTCTCTTTCCCAGGAATGACCTCCAGATATTTCGAAAGGTGGGGTGTGTGGGTTTCCCTGTCCTGCCTAAGATCTGTTCTGAGCTAAACAGCCCTAGCTCCTTCAGCTGTTTCTCATGCAGCCTGTCACCCCAAGACAGCTGTAATGTATATTCATTAAATATGTTTGCATGTGTATAGAAAAGGGTCTGCAAGGATGCACACCAGATTAGTGGGATTGGGGAGCTAGAGGAAAGGTTGGGAGGCCTTTGAACACTTGCTGTTTGAATTTACAATGAGTGTTTAGTAAAAATAAAGCCTGTGGACATGGTACTAACAATATGAGGCTCTAACTCTCTCTAGCTCCTGAGTTGTGCATGGATCCTAGCTCACATGTGTTTGTGGGGCACTCCATGCAGCAGCCTGGGCTCCCCAGATCTAACCTCCTTGTTTCTCACCATCCAGTTTTCTAATCAACCTGAAACTCCTGATAGCAACCAGCAGTTACAGCAGGCCCTGGAAGAGCGGGCACAGCTGGAAACACATGTGGGGCAGGTGAGGCTCTGCAGAGGGGGGCCATGGAAGGAGCATGACCCCAGGTGACCAAGAGTGGTGAGGTCCAGTGACAGCCTCTGCTAACTTCTGTACCCATTCTTGCAGCTGAAGGACTTGCTGCAACAACTGCAGATGGAGAGAGACCAGTACATAGAGAATCTGAAAGAGGAGGGTGCTGTTTGGCGACAGAGGATGCAGCAGATGTCTGAGCAGGTAAGACGCGACCTCGGGCCCTTAGGTAGGTCACTCGATCTTTCTGGGCATCTGCAAAATGGAATTCATAACCCTTGCTGGGCGCAGCCAGAGGTGGGTGTGTGTAGGTGGGAGGCAGAGTGGGGTGGTCACCTGGCCGTTCCTCTATCCCCTCCCTCCACATGCTCCTCCCTGTCTGCTTGGTCAGATGAACAAGTTGAGGGAGGAGAAAGAGCACAGAACGAGTCAGGTGCAGGAGCTGGAGGCCAGCCTCGCTGAACTGAGGAGCCAGATAGGTAAGCGGGGGCTGGAATGGTCTGGAAGCAGGCCTGATATCAGGGGGCTGTTGAGAGGGGCTTTGAATGCCCCAGGGAGGTGGGTGGATGGAAGAGCTCTGTGGCTAAGGGAAAAAGGGCTGTACGAGGGATTGGCAAGTCTTGGGTAGGGTGCCCACTGTCAGTGACTCAGAGTTGTCTCGTGGAAGAATGAAAAGAAGTTTGTTTGAAAGTATCCTGTAAGATTGGGCATCGAATGAGTGTGAGGAATTATTAGCCAGGAAGCCAAAATTTGGGGTGCGGAGGCTGAGTTAGAAGCAATGGACCAAGAAGGGGGTTTTCCATGACTACAGAGGAGAGAGGCCCTTACTCTGTGCTCCCCTTCTCAGCTGTTCCCCCGGCCCCAGAGCCCCCAGCAGGGCCCTCAGAGGTGGAACAGCAGCTGCAAGTGGAGGCCAAGAAGTTAAAGGAGGAACTGGAAAGCCTGGCAGAGCGGCTGCGGGCTCAGGTGCAAGACAATGACGGTTTGAGTCGCCTGAATCGAGAGCAGGAGCAGCGGCTGCTGGAGCTCGAGCGGGCAGCCGAGTGCTGGGGGGAGCAGGCGGAGGAGCGCAGGCAGATCCTGGAGAGCATGCACAGCGACCGCACCACCATCAGCCGCGCGCTCGCCCAGAACCGCGAGCTCAAGGAGCAGCTGGCCGAGCTGCAGAACGGCTTCGTCAGGCTGGTGCGCAGCCCAACCTGGCTGGCTTGCCCTCTGGTGCGGGGCGAGACGGTTATTAGCCCCCCTGGGCCTTTGTTTTCCCACCTGTAAAATGGGGTGGTACAAACCTTCCGTGAAATGGGGCCAATGAAGGCAGCCTGTGAACCAGAGAACTTGGCGCAGATGAATGTTGGGGAAGGCAATGGGTTTTCCTGCCTGCCTCCACCCTTCCCTGAGCTGTGGGAGGCAGACACCCAGTTCTGGGGTCTCCAGCCACATTGGGTAGCCACCGATTGCTTTCCTCTGTCCAGACCAATGAGAACATGGAGATTACCAGTGCACTGCAGGCGGAGCAGCATGTCAAAAAGGAGCTGGCCAAGAAGCTGGGCCAGCTGCAGGAGAAGCTGGGGGACCTGAAGGAGACGGTGAGCCCTGCCCAGGTGGAGAAGGGCTAGGGGACAGACGCTCGCCTCAGGGGACCGAGGTGCGCAGCTGGGGCAGAGGTAGCTCCCGCCAGGGGACACACGTGACTCCAGACACAGGGTCCTTCAGAGCCTGTGAGTACTTGCTGCTCCCGGCTCTCTGACTGTAAGAGGTGGCCAGCCCTGGGCCCAGACGTCATCATCTCCACTAGAGGCATCAAGCCTCTAATTGGAGGGAGAGAGATGGTGTGTGATAGCTGACTCTGGATTTAGCTCTGGGTTCTGACCTCAGCTTCCCTGGCCACTATTCACCTCTCATCTCTGAGCCTCATGTTCTTCACTTAGAAAGGAGATAAGCATTTTCCTCATAAGAGGTGTTGAAGATTAAATGAGAATTATGCATGTAAAGTATTAGGCATTTGGTGTCCATTTAATAGGTGTTGGTTGGCACTCTCTGCTTTTCTTAGGTTGTTAGGAGATGTGAGGCCGAGTAAAGGAGGCATGGTACTCTGGGCAAGGGAGGCAGTCACAGAGACCCTGGAGTGAAGAAGCCAGGGGCCTGGGCAGGCAGCAGAGCCTTGCAGTGCCTGCCACAGGGCGAGGAGTCTGTTGCACCTCCCTGCCGCTCTGTGGGCTCCGAGTCTGGGATTCAGCCGCCACGTGCCCTCACTTGCAGGGTCTTCCTGCAGGTGGAGCTGAAGAGCCAAGAGGCTCAGAGTCTCCAGGAGCAGCGGGACCAGTATGCAAGCCACCTGCAGCAGTATGCGGTCACCTGCCAGCAGCATGTGGCTGCCTACCAGCAGCTGGCCTCCGAGAAGGAGGGGCTGCACAAGCAGGTCCTGCTGCACACCCAGCTTTTGGACCAGCTACAGCACCAGGAAGTTCAGGGCAAGGTGGCGGTCGAGATGGCCCGCCAGGAGTTGCAGGAGACCCAGGTGAGGAGGAAGTCAGTGCTGGGCCCCTGCCTGGGAGACCTGCAACCTGTGTCCCTTTCCCACTCTTTTCTTGGCCCCTTAGGAGCGCCTGGAAGCTGCCAACCAGCAGAACCAGCAGCTGCAGGCCCAACTGAGCCTCTTGGCTATGCCTGGGGAAGGTAAATGGGACTGTCCAGAGGGAGAGGGCAGAGCCAAGGAGGGGGGCGACTTGGGGCAGCACAGAATTGAGTTTAGAATGGCGAACCCTTTTCCTGTGGGGACTGGCTGGCCCAGGGCTGCACAGTGAGGCAGGGCAGAGCTGGGCCCCAGGCTTTCTTCCGGGGCCACTCCTCTGCCTTTGTTACTGTCTGAGGCTCTCTGGCTGCCCCTGACAGGAGAGGGACTGGACAATGAGAAGGACGAGGAGGCTCCCCAGCCAAAGCTGAGCCTGCCGGAGGACCTCGATGGCCGAGAGGCCATGGTGAGCTACATCCCTGCCCCTTCCTCGTCACACCCGCCTGCCCCCCTCTGTTGTCCCTCCCGGATATCTTTCTAACCTCTTGGTTTCCCCCCCTCTGACTTCTCTTGACCCCCAACCTCCCCTCAGAGCTGGTGGTAGACATCATGCCTGCCTTGAACCACAGGTGCCCACTGAGGTCCCGAGAGAGGGAGCTCTTCTCTGCCCGCTCCTCCCATCCTGAGGATTTGCCCACCAGTACACGTATGCAATCTCTCGCGCACAGGTGGCATTTTTTAACTCGGCTTTGGCCAGTGCTGAGGAAGAACAGGTGTGGCTGCGCCGGCAGCTGAAGGCGCAGAAGCAGCAGTGCCAACGCCTGGCTCACCTGGTGGCTCCTACTCAGCACGAGCTGGACAGGGAGGCCCCAGCCCCTGGGACCGGCGGCAACAGTGTGCCTGCAGAGACTCACCAGGCCCTCCAGCTGGCCATGGACAAGCTGCAGGTGAGCGAGCCTCCCCTGACGTGGCTCAGGAAGGGTTGGGGTGGCCAGGGCAGGTCATTGCTGAGCCCCACCCCTGCGCTTGGGCTGCAGAGCCGCTTTACAGAGCTCATGCAGGAGAAAGTGGATCTGAAGGAGCGGGTGGAAGAGCTGGAGCACCGCTGCATCCAGCTGTCTGGAGAGACAGACACAATCGGTGAGCTGGCAGGCCGGGTGGTCAGGGGCAGTGCCGAGGATCCCGGGAGCCCGGCTTCTGAGCCCTGTCCCCCTGCCCCTCCCTCCCGCAGGAGAGTACATTGCCCTTTACCAGAATCAGAGGGCAGTGCTGAAGGAGCGGCACCGGGAGAAGGAGGAGTACATCAGCCGGCTGGCTCAGGACAAGGAGGACATGAAGGTAGGGCCCCGGATCTTCTCTGGGGGCGGGGGTGGGAGTGGAGACACTGAGTGCCTCCCCCCGCAGGTGAAGCTGCTGGAGCTGCAGGAGCTGGTGCTACGCCTAGTGGGCGAGCGGAATGAATGGTATGGCAAGTTCCTGGCTGCTACCCAGAACCCGGCTGGTGAGCCCAGTACACCCCCAGCCCCTCAGGAGCTGGACATGGCCGACAGCCCGGGTGGTGAGTAGAGCTCTTGGGGAGGGTGGGAGGCTGGGCCGGGTGGGGAGAGCCCACACATCACTCCAGACGTCTGCCTTTCTCTTTCCAAAGACCTCCGGGAGGTGAGCCTCTCCGACAACGGGGAGCCTGCCCAGGGAGAGGCCCTGCCTGAGAATCCCACTGCACAGCAGATCATACGGCTGCTGCGTGAGATCCAGAACCCCCAGGACCATCCAGGCTTAGGCAGCAGCCCCTGCATCCCCTTCTTCTATCGGGCCGATGACAACGATGAGGTGAAGATCATGGTGGTCTAATAGCCTGCTGCCAGCCGGCAGAGCCCATAGGAATGGGGCCGGGGCTCTGCTCCCACCTTGTCACCCCCCACCATCCTGGCCTCTCTTTCCCAGTCACCCGTTTATCCCTAGATAAGTAAAATAGGACTCCTGAGAAGGGGTATGCTGAACACCCTAATGGGGGGAGACAGTTAGGTGCAGACCCCTTGCCACCTTGCTAGGGCTGTCTTATCTCTGGACTACTAATAGTTCCGGAAGAGCAAAGAGCCAGAGGCTCAGCAAATATAGTTATTTAGGAGGCTGCCTTTCTCGGGGAGCAGGGGCTCCTCAGTTGGCCTCCTCACCCCCACCGAGCAGCCCTCCATTCAGAGGGGCTCAGGCATCCTCTATTCAGAGGTACTTTGGGGCCCAAGTGCCCCCTCTTGCCCAGCTTCACAACTGGATGGCACTCTCACAGGCCTGGGGACAGCTAGGGTAAACCGAGGCCAGTCAAGGGCAGAGCTCCCCCCCCGTGTACATACTGTATCTGTGTACCATTTTGTATATTTGGGAGTGGGGCAGCCCCCTGTATCATAGTTGAGGTTGGAGGTGGCAAATGAGGAGAAGGGTCTATTAAATATTTGGGGATGGAGAAACTTATTTATTGATAGCATAGAACAGAAGAAGGAGGCGGGGACGGGGTTATGCCTGCGTGATTCGACTCCTGTGTCGCTTTTTATTTCGGAATAAATGGATTTAGCCATATTGCGTGGCCTCGCAGTTAGGTCCGCGTCCACCACAGGGCTTGGGGCCTGAGCTGTGGGCACTGCGCACCGAGCGGGTCCTGCCAGCAGAGGGCAGGCTTCTGGCTGCGTGACGCCCGGGCGTATCTGAGCCTGTCCAAGGGCGCTGGCCTAGGTCTTCCAGGCCTGACACCTGCACACTGACTGCTTGGTGACGCCTGGGGCATTCCAGGGGGCCTTCCAGGGCCCTCAGGGGCAGTCCTGACCTGATGGCCAGGCTCAGAAGCCTGATCTAGCCCTGGGGAGGGGAAAGCAGGGTGCTGGCTTCAGAGTGCTGACTTCCAGCCCAGGCGTTCTCCATTTCGCCATCCGCATCTGGCCCCCCTGTCCTGCCGCTCCGCAGTGCCCACCACGCCCCACATCCTTCCTCCGGGCCGAGTCGGTGTACCTGCCCTCTAGCGGCCGGAACAGGTTCAGGGGGTGAGGACCAGCTAACCTCCAGGTGCTTTCCCAGGAGGCCTTGGAAAGGATGGGGTCTTTTCCCACCTCTATTTATAGCATCCTAACCATGGCCAGGCCCTTACCCACCCCTACGTCCCAATGTATATCTTCATCTCCTGAGCGCCACAGAGAACACAAGCCAGCAGAGGACACGCTGTTCCCCATTGTCCAGAAATGGGTTTTATTCTCAGCCAAGAGACAGCAAGATTGGTAGTGGTCAGAGAACCACACAGCTGCCAGCACAGCACCCCTGCGCTCAAAGGGGGAGAGATGGGAAGGTGGCAGAGGGGGCTGGCTGTCCACAGGCTGGCATGATAGAGGCTCACTGGAGGTGGCACACTGAAGGGGGATGTCAGGGTGACAATGTTCCCTTGTCGCTGGGCCACAAGACTCAGGGACAGCGTGGTGATGGATTCCCACCACTAGAGGTGAGGCTGTGGGGACGTATGTGTGTACGTATATATTTGAGTATTTATAGATATTTATAGGACAAGGCAGGAGCAATACCAGAGAGGGCACAAGTTTTCACCAGCGTCACGCCTGGATATGTCAGCTCACCACTACAGCGGACTAAGTCACAGATGAGGGGAAGTTTTGGGGCTGGGGAGCCACTGTCAAGTCACAGAACAGCCATCCAGGCAGGCTTGGAAAGGGAGGTCTCCGAGGAATAGGAGGGATCTGGTTAGAGGTCGAAGGGGGGCCTGGGGCTCTCAGGACGGGACGGACTTGCCTGACCCGATCGGCTGGCAGTTGGAGAGAAAGCAGAGAGAATGGGAGAGAGAAGGAGGGAGAGAGCTGGTAAGGCGAGGGCAGCCAAGCTGCCAGGGTAGGAGGGGAGGGCAGTGGGGGCAGATGCAGCGGAGGGTGTGGCAAGGGCTCTGGAATGGAGGAGAGGAGAGAGGGAAGGTGGAAGGGAGGAGCTGGAGATGTGGGACCATAGCCTCCCCGGGGTCTGAGGTGGAGGAGGGTGGCCCTCCCCCTGCCACACACTCTGGTCTCACACACACCACCAGGCAGGGCACCCACGGCTCCAGACACGCTCACGGCCCCCTCTGCCTACCCTCTTCTCTGGCCCCACTGTCTTTCAACCCACTGGCCCAGGGCCACCCCTAGCCTTAGGGAAAAGGGAGCCATGAGCCCTGTACAATAGCCACCAGGCCTGATGGAGAAAAACAGGTGGAAGAACACTGAGCCAGGAGGGCAAAGCTAACAGGATGGCTGGAGGGAGCACTGCAGGCCCCTCTGGGTGGGCAGCAAGCCCAGAGTCCTGGAGGGACCCTGGGGAGGCAAGGAGGGCAAGTAGCTGGACGCCAGAGGCCACAGGCTTATAAGTCTAAGAGGGGGGCCTCGGCTGGCCGAGGGACCACAGGTCGCGTAGGTGAGGCTGGGCCCTTCCTGCTGGGGAAAAGCAGAAGAGCAAGAGTCAGGCAGGGGCAGAGGGGCAGGCGGATTCACGGGTGAGTTTTGCGGCCCAGCCGGGGGATCTCAGAGCTGACTTGCCCAGGTCAGCAGACACAGCTGTCCCCTTGGCTGAAAAGTGTAGGTCAGCCCTAGGGACAACAGGCCCAGGCCCATGAGCCCGTGGGCTGGCTAGGGAGCTTCCCCCAGGGCCAAGGCTGCCACCTTCAGTCGTGCACTAGCAAGTTTGACAGTACTAAGGAGGCAGTGGGAGGGGCTGTGGGACCCTGCTGCTCCCGTGAGGCGGGCTCCGGGCTGCTGGGGTGGACAGGATCCGTTTCAGGCTTTCAGAATTCATCAAACCAGAGCCTTTGCCCCTGATCACTGCTCAACTGCTGGCAAGAGAGGAGGGGGGATGCTGACCTCCTCTGCCCTAGGCCGGATTTGGTTCCCAAAGTTCCCAGGCTGGGAGGCGGCTGCTCTGCTGCAGCGGCATGGCTCAGATCGGGGAACAATGTGGCACCCCCCAGGCTGCAGTTCCAAGGGCTGTGGCTGCCAGGGCCCAGCCCCCCTGCACAACCCCCTCCACACTCCCTGCCCTACCCCAGAAACCATGAGCTCTCTGCCCTCTCTGATGGCTCCAGGGCACACCCAGGTCTGCCAGCTTGGGCGCGGAGCCTGTCCCAAGAGCTCTCCAGGCTAGGCTCAGCCATGAGGTCTTGAGTGGTGGCACTGAGTCCTGAGGCTGGCTGAGAAGGGAGGTGAGAGAGGCAGCTGGCACAAGGTCAGAAGGGGGAGAGAGTAAGTCTGGAACTGCAGAAGGGAGAGGAAAGGGAGCCTGACTCTGCGGTCCGAGGTATGCCCCACATTGTGGAGCTGGTGCAGCAGGGGGCAGACACACTGTTCATGCAGCAGGCGGAGAGGCATGTATGTACCTACCATGGCTGACGCTCCTCAGGGGTCACTGATAGTGATTCTGAAAGACAGCACGAAATCAACATGGCAGTTCACACGCAGGGGCGGGGAAGGCTGGGGGTGGGAGACACGCACACGCACACGCCCGGGCGTGCACACACATGCTATGAGGCCCAAGGCCCCGCATGCACACATTGACACACATGCCCACAAACAACTCGCATACACCTCCTCCCTCCCACTGCGCCACACCCTCACTGGCCAGCACGTGCAGCATGGATCCGGGGCATGCAGCCACTCGGCACACTGAAGCACACGCGTGGGCTGAGTGACAACACAGAAGCTCGCCCGCACATAGGAGGCATTTGCACCAGCTCCCTGCACACTCCTGACTGGTGAGCTCAGAAGGACCACCCACAATGCTCCATAAGGGACCAGTCTTGCCTTTTTAGGGTCCAGCTGTCATTTCTCCACCCAAGAGCCTTTCATGGCTCCCTACTACCCACAGTATTAAGTCCCAACAAGCCAAACCCTTTTAGGAACGCTGAAGGTTCTCCAACCTGCCCCCATACCCAGGGCCATCTTTTCTTATCCTTCCTCATCCTATCTGCATTCTGCTCTGGCCAGAGGCTCTCCTCCTCAATATATCTCATATGAAACCTCTGCTCACACTGCCGCTCCCTATCCAAACGCCAGCATCCCTCCCTTCCCCCGCCAGCTCCCCACCACCTGAGCTTTATCTCAATCAGCCCCCGGACTTCAGTGAAGTCAAGCTGCCTGGAAGCTCCCCAGACAGCTCTCTTCTCTCAGGCAGGGTCATGACTTGCCAAATGATTCCCGTGTGTTAGCAAGAATTGGTGTTAGAGCAGGTTCCAAATCTTATGGTTCCCACATGTCACATCTCAGCACAGACCTGGGCATGTCGAATGCCCTTAGGAATCTGAACTCATGTTAGAAGTTAGCCAAGTGCTCCTAGAGCCACATGTGCAGCCAGTGCGGCATCCCTACAGCCACTGTCTCCGGAGAAAGGCAGAATGTTAGATATCATTTGGTAGAAAGGAAACCGAGGCCCTGGAAGGGAAAGTGACTTGCCTAAAGTTCCGGGGGCAAACCAGAACCTCTGGACTCCAGTCCAGTGCTCTTGACCAGTGCCATGCTGCCTGCTTTACCCCATCTGCTTTGGTCATCATGTCACTGCTTCATTCTGGGTTCATGGAGGCTAGCCCAATGGCCCTACCCTCCAGCCATCTGGAAACATAAGTGGATGTCATTGGTCTGATGTGTTCATCCTCAGAGAATATGGCCAGTGGGAACAGGGCAGACTGAGTTAGAGATCAGAGAGCTTCCCTGGAAAGGGGCATGGATCAAGAAGGCAAAGCCAAGTGGTGAAGTAGAATCCTTTTCCTGGAAATCTCTGGGAATAGGGCAGCCTTCACCCCCACGTGCCGGTCGAGGCCAGGTAGGGTCAGAGGCAGGGTGAAGGAAGAAAGACATCACATCACCCGATGGCTCCAGACTCTTTCCTCAGCTGCCCCATGTCCTGCCCCATGCCTGGGTGCCACTCTCACTCTCTCACACCCGTGTGCACGCCCACACACACATCACACACCTTGCTGGTCATACAGTCACACCTGGCCTCTGTTCCTGTGGGCTAGAGGCCAGATTCCCCACGTGGGACAGCTCAGAAGAGTCGGGACTGGGAAGGGGGGACATAAGGGTGGCCTGAGTGTAAGTGGGCCAAGCCTGCACATCTGGATAGGATCTGGGTTCAGGCTCTCAGACCTGAGGGAGGCTCACTAGGGCTGGGAGAGAGAAGCAGAGGACGGGCTGGAGATGGAGAGGCCAGAAGGGGAAAGGAGGAGGGATGCCACGTTGGGGGGAGAGAGAGAGAGAGAGAGAGGGGTGGAAAAGGAGGGAAGCGCCATGCAAGTGCTGGAAAGAGGGGGGCAGGTGGGATGAGCCCCACAGCCCCCTCCCCAGAAACGACCACCTTCGGACTCAGCGCTCCCTGGGGCAGGCTCCGCCAGCCCCTGGCCACACCTCGCGTGGCTCTGGCACCCACAGTCCGAGTGCCCTGGATGCAGAGGGGCAGCTCCGGAGGCCAGGGCAGATACTCCCGCGGCCTGGTCCCCCTCCCGGCCACGCCCCCCCGTTGGCTCTCCCGCCCATTCAGCCCCTACTCACCTGGGGACCCCAGGAGGGGCGCGGTTGGGGCGCGAGGGCACCTGGGGGGGAGGGCCGAACGGATCAGGGGAAGCCCCCGGCCTGGAGGGCACGGGGGGCGCCCCCCCCAGGGCGGATCCAGCAGGCGGAGGCCCAGGAGCAGGGCCCCGCGACCCGGGCCGGGCTGGGGGTACGGCGGGGGCTCGGCGCTGCGGCGTGGGGCTGGACGTGGGTGACCTGCGGGCGACAGGGAACGCGGGACCACGAGGAGAGGGATGAGCGGCTCCGTCCCGAACTGAGCCCCAGTCCCCAGCCCGGTGCCGGCCACACCCATGCGCGCAAGCCCCGCCGCACGTGCCCGAGATGCGCGCCGCAGCTTAAGCCCCGCCCCCACTGGCTTCAGGGTTCCAGCTCCACCCCGTCCGCAGCCGGCGTTCCAAGGCAAGCCCCACCCCGCGACAAACCCCGCCCCTCTCTAAGCTCCGCCCCTCGCTCCAGATGGGAGCCGCCCCGGGGACGCGGGCGCGCCACTGCCCGGTCCCGGCCCTCCTCCCGCGGGCCCCGGGCTAGGGGGCTTTGGGGCCGCGGGGGCCGGCCCTGGTACCTGCGTCCGGCCGGTACGCTCTGCACCTGCAGCCAGGAGTCGTCCACGGGCGGGGGCATGGGCGTGCTGACAGTGGTCGTGTTGATGTCGCCGATGATGCTGAGGGCCTCCTTCAGTGCGTGGTACATGCGCAGCATCTCGTCGCGCCTCTGAGCCTGCTCGGCTGACTCCTCCATCAGTGTGTTTTGGTCCCCGCACGAGTACAGGTTGGCCAGCAGCTCCGAGAAGATGAATTCCTTGGTCTGCACAGAGAAGAGGGGGGCTGGGACCTGACACCTGTACGCTCTGCCCACCCAGCCAGGGGACCCGGCTCTGTCACCGCCTAAACACGGAGGTCTCCCCAGCTTCCCCACCCCTTGCTCTTTTCTCAGATGGTCCAGAGAGGAAAACTGACCTGGACAAGGTCACAGATCTGGGAGGACACTTAGGGCCTATCATGCAGTCAGGACAGCTGGTTACTCAGCTTTTTTCAGCCTCTGTTTCCTTATTTGTAAAATGGGGGTAGTTACACCCTTTTCAAGGGCTTGCATGCTCCACTGGCCCAAAATAAAGGAGATGAATTAAAAATTTTCTGAGCTCTTGAGTAACAAGTGTAAAAGTGTATCTGGATTGGATAAAGTGTGTTTCTGTGTGTAAGGGGTGGGCTAATGTCCATCTTAAAATCCCCAGGTTGTTACCTGGCCTAGGCTCTGGGACATTACTGGCTGAGGCTTTTGATGCCCTAGCCCAGTGTCTCATTTATTCATTATATGTTGAGCACCTACTACACACCAGGCACTTTGTTCCGATGCACTTTATATTTATTTAGTCCTCAACTCTGTTATCCATATTTTACACTTAAGAAAACAGAGGCTCAGAAAGGGTTGTTTTTTTCTCAAAGTCACATAGGGAATTTGTGACAAAGCCAGGATTCAAATACAGTTCTGATTTCCTAGGACCATGCTTTTTCACTAAGCCATGGGTGGTAGTGGTTCTGTGGGGTGTGTATTTCAAAACACGGTCTGGTTCTCAAAAGATGCAGATTCCTAGCCCCTTCTGCAAAACACTTAAGCATGCTTAAAACAACCTGAGTGTGTGAATCTACAAAATCATACATGAAGCTCACATTATATTTCTCTTGGATAGCTCTGGTGTGGACTCATACCTCCTTCCCTAGACCCAGTCCTACAGGCCTGGCTTATGCCTCCCCGATCAATCTGGCTACCTACCTCCCTGGTCCCACAAGAGCACCTTCCCCCACAGGGCGGCACACTCACATTGTTAATCATGAGGTGCATGATGGTCTTAGGCATGAGGTCCCGCACAGTCTTGTTGACAATGGCCATGTATGAGTCCACCAGGTTCCGGATGGTCTCCACCTGCCGCTCCAGCTGTGGGTCCATGGAGTGCATGAAGTTGTCTGAGCCATTCTCCTCGGTCTCACTGGCCTGCCATTGAGAACAGAGAACACCAGGGTGGCTGGGCCCTCAAAGCCTGGTTCCAGGCATCCCCAGGGTCTCAGCCCCTCTGAGGGTACCTGGAACACAGGCACAGAGAGAAGCCACAGGCCCGAACACACAGACACCAGCTCCGCCATTCGCTCTGGGTCCCTGGGCTCTGCCCACTCCAGTGCCTCTCAGGACCCCAGACCCTTGTTCAGTCTTATCTTGGCTCTGACTCTAGTGTCTAGAATTTGCCTCAGTTTCCCCTTCTGTAAATTAGGAAAGGATGCCTCCAAGGTCTCTTCCTGATTCTAAATGTCTGGTCAGAGTTGCTGCCAAGCCGGAGAAGCCTGACAGAAGGTCAGAGCGGGACACACTTACTTTCTCCTTGTCCTGGAAGGCCCACACCGCACCAGAGAAGTTGCCGCACCAGCATTGCCGCCGCCGCCGCCAGCAAGCACAGCGGAAGCAGACACACACACAGAGGAGAAAGGAGGGATTGAGTGAGCCCAGGGCATGGCACCCAACTCTAAGACAACTCTAAGACATTGCCATAGTGAAAGGAGGGAGAAAAGCAAGGTCAGTTACAAGTCACCGGCATCTTATAAAGGAGATGCAGTCACGCTGTCTGTGACAGAGGAGGGGTCACGTAAAACTGGCACTGGAGAAGGATGGGAGGAAGGCTTAGCTCTGATCCTGCTCCAGGGCAAGTAGGGGGAGGGTCTCTGCTATAGACACAGGGCATGCCTTGGCATCACTGAGGATGGTGTCCCGGGAGACCCTATTATAAGCAGCTTGCCCTTCCCTTCCCTGCCACTCACCCCAACACGCTCAGGGTACACTCCAGCTCTCAGGAAGGAGGCCTTCCAGCTATCCACCTCCTCCTGTGTCTCACAGGCCAGTTCCAGCTGCCTATAATCCTTGTAGACATTCCTGTAGGAAGGGGCAGGTGGTGAGGGGAGGCGGAGCCCAGGCCCTTCACTTGTGGTAGTTATGGGCATGCAAGGACTGGGGTCATCCCTCCTGGGGGTCAGTCCTGGCTTTCTCATTTCCGAACTGTGTAACCCTGGGCAAGTCCCTTCCTCTCTCTGAGCCTCAGTTTCCTCATCTGGATGATGGGTTAATGGTAACAGTTCTTGCCTCCTACAGTTCTTGTGAGGATTCCTGGAAATGAGCAGTAAAATGCTCTATCAAAAAGGGACTGAGCCCCCAAAAAAGGGGCATCCATGACAGTGCAGTTCCTGGCTTGGGTCTCAGCTCCCATCGACCCCCTCCCTGGTCTCTGGGGACTCTCTCATGGCAGCTGTACTGAGCTCTCATCTCTGAGTGGGAGTGAGCCAGCCCTGGGTTGGTAGGTGGGAGGCTTGGTATTACCACTGGCCCCGCTGGACACTGAGCAACATGAGAAGAGGACCAAGTCTGATGGCGCTCTTCTTTGTCCCCAGGGCCCAGCAGTGTCTTATGCAGAGCAGGCACTAGCCAAGTGACAGCGGTAGGACAGGAGGGGAAGAAGGAAAGAGGGAGGGAGTGGAAGCAGGAAGGAGATCTTGACATAACATCTAGCACAGAGTAGGAACTCAATAAATATTTGTCAAATGAACAGTTTGCTGGGGGACTTGAGGCAGGTCCCTCTCCTTTCTGGGTCTGTGTGCTCAGGGAGGGCGGTTTGGGGCTGGCAGAGCCTGGGGCCCCACGGTCCCGGCAGGGGGCAGGCAGACACCTCTGCTCTGTGTTGAAGAGAGCAAAGATATGCTTGCTGGACATGAAGCCCTTCTCCACGTCCCGCAGCTTCAGGTTGTCCACGGACAGCATGTATTTCTTCTCTTTCTCCTGTGGGTAGAGGTAGGAGCCATGAGTGAGGTTGGTACTGTTCCCTGCCACACCTCTCTCCCTAAGACTGCTTCATGCTAGGGGGTGCCTGAGGCTGTGTATGCCCAGAGTGGACCCAAGCTTCTGGGCATCAGCCCATTCGCATTGCATGGGTGCTGTCACATGATAGCCTGTCAATGGAGCCCTGGGCTTGCTGGGCACCCCCAGCTCCCAGTGGTACTGAAGCCATTCCTACCACATCTGTGTACATGCCAGAGACCAAGAGCTCAGGGTGGCTCCCCCATCACACCCCAAGCAGGCCCTGGATGCAGTCCAGACCTCCTCCATCCTGGGACCCCACACTTGAGCTTCTCTCACCCTGGGCCTGGCCATTGGGGCCTGCTTTGGATAAACTCTGATTTCATTTCCTGACTGTAGAGATAAGGAAGGGGGGCCACCAGCCCAGCGGCTTTAAAGGCCTGGTCAAGCCCACCCCCCATGGCTGCCCACATGTGAGCAATCTGGTGCCCAGCACTAGCCTGGAGATGGTGAGTGTGTATGCATGCAGCACGTTGTAGTTGTGTGTCTGTGCAAACACATGCAAGCCTGAGCACACGTCCTATCATCACACTGTGGATGGGTGTGGGTGTGCACACGTGTGCCTGAGGAGGTGCCCGGCACGGCTGCACGTCTGTGTGGGCATGTCTATATGTCAGTGAGAATGTGTGCCACTTTTGTACATGTCTGTTTTCATGAATGTGCCTGTGGGAAGCGTACTGTGGGTACATATATTTACGTGTATGCGGTTTGTAATAGGCTGAATATGTTTAGTTTTTCTGTAGTTGTCTGGAAGGAGTTATGTTTATCTGTGGATGGTCATGTGGGGCCAGGTCTGTGTGCACATGACTCTGTGCCTGGTGTGGGCTGTCATGTGTCTGTAGGCTGTTGTGTTCAGGGGAGGGGCTCAGGGGTCTTCAGAAGAGGTGCCCCCAGGATGGGGCTCTGGGACGAGGGGCAGGATTTCTGTTGCTGGTACCACACTTGCCCACCCAACACCACAGGATCTATGCCAGGGGTCCGGTGGGGGTGTCTATACTGGTCTCAGGGACTCGGGGTTTCAACATGAGCCTTGCCCAGGGTTTCGGGTGGGGGGCGGGTTTAGGAGGACCCTGCTCCCCCTGTTCTGGCGTCATCTTGCCCACTTCCCTCTGGCCCCCCACCCGCTTGGCCAGTCGGGCCACATAAAGCCCTCTTTATGCCAGGCGGGTGGCTACAAGCCCCAGAGGGCGGCTGGGGGAGGAGAGGAGGAAGTTGCACACGCGGCCGGGGAACATCTGGAAGCGTTCGAGGGAGGCCCGCCGCCACCGCCTGGCGCTCTGGGGTTGGACGCTAGGTAGGAGCGGCCTCCTCCCCTCACCCCTCCCTTCCTGCTGGCCGGCCCCCTCCCCAGGCCCCTCCTCCCTCGCCGCAGCTCCGCTCACCCCTGCCACGTCAAAGGAGGCAGAAGGGGAGTCAGGAGCAGAGAGGGGACCACGGGCCGGCTGGGCTGGGGCAGGGAACCTTGATCGCCAGGAGATGGGCCGAAGCTCCCACCCGATGGACAGACGCTGCTGCCTGGACAGACCAGCGGACACCTCCACTCCGTCTACCCAGTGTTTAGACTATCTGTTCAGGACTCCCAAATTGTACAGTAGTCTGCACATTGGTTAGGCTGGGCTGGGTTAGACCCTCGGCGCCGCTGGAGAGCTGGACTGACCCCCGCCCGCCATCCCAGAACTGGAGCCTGGAGCTGGGGCAGGGGGCTTGGTGGGGCACGGGGTGGGCTGGGAGGAGGCGCAGAGGGATGGGGAGGGGTGCTGCTGGGTGTCGGAGGAAGACTGAGAAGGTGGGGGTCAGTGAGGCTGGGGCTGTGCGAGGCCGCCTGTCTGCCTAAAGGGCCACCCCAGGCCCAAAGACCAGCGACCAGAGGACAGGCGGGGAAGGGGGACAGGTCACACTCCCCCGAGCTCAGACCACCTCCTTGTCCCCAGCTGTTCTAGTGCAAAACTCCACTCACACCCAGCACACACACAACCTCAACAACTTGACATGCACAGACCACCACTCAGGCACATACATCCCCACACCCAAATCTTCAGGCACACACCCATGCCCCAAGCACACACGCACAAGTGCTTGCACGCGTACACACACAACACAGACACACAGCCCCTCACAATCCTCACAATGGAAGGCTGTGCCACCCACCTGGGGTCACACCTCAGGCACACATGGCTGCCCCCAAACACACATACAGACCCTCATATACTAGATGCTTACACCGCAAACAGTGCCCCACAAAACACCCCCCCACAACATCCCCAAGCTTCACTTATCCCCACCCCCCACTCACTGCCCCCCCTCACGACTCAACACCAGCCTTCACAAACAAACAGCTAAACTCAAATGTACACACAAGGTCCAACAAAGACCCCTCCAACCCAATGGGGTACAGGGGGGCCCTGCCAGATATGCTGTCCCTCCCCCACAGTGAAGCCAGTGGCTGGCCCTCAGCTGCAGGTCACGCTGTCACTGGCCCTGTGTGAGGAGCCCCAGCGTAAGAGCAGCAGGGGTTGTGGGGCAGCAGTCAGCACCCTCAGCCCATGGGGGACATCTAGGGAGCCTGCCTGGGCAGCAGAGCAGGAAGCGACCCCCCCCCACCGCGCCACCTCACACACCATCCCTTCCAGGGGCCCCATGCTCAGGGAGAGGCCAGGGTTGGGGTAATGAGGTCCAGATGGCTTAGCGCCCCCGCCAGTGACGACAGAGGGCCTGGCCCAAGGTGGGGAGGGGGGCCCTGCCTCAAGCGACTTGGCAGAAGCAGGGATCAAGGAGGGGGCTTGAAGATCAAAATCCCAGGGCCCTACCCCAAGCCCCGACCCCACTGGCAGCACCCTCTCCTCCAACAGGAAGGAGAGAGTCCCTTCCCCCACTCCATGGCCAGCTGGAGTTCATTACCACAAGCCCCCACCCTACCCCCAGCCCTCCCCATTCTCTCTGGTCACCTCTGGAATCCAGATGTGGAAGCCAAACACACTCATTCTTAAAGGAGACCAGCGGCAGAGGAAGGAGGTGGTGGGATTCTACGTGCCCCCGTGGGCCGGGATGGTTGCTGTGTGGGGCCTCTGCAGGGCCCCATCGCTCCTGGCCCCGCAGCCTGGAGGCACCCTGGGTATCTCCCTTGGGCTCCTGGGGTCTGAGGGACTGGGGTGCAGGAGTTAACATGGTGTCTGGCAGCTGGACTCGTGTGTCACAGGCCTGTGGGGGCCACAGAGGCGGCGGCGGCACGCCCTAGAGTGGGAAAACAGGAAGGCCGCAGGGCTGGTGGGGTGAGGGAGGGGTGCCTAACACCCCTGCCTACCCTCTCCATGGCATCAGCCCCAGGATCCCCAGTCCTGCCAAACCATCCTCTCCAGCTGGCCTGGGTGGGTCTCCAGGACTGCCTGCTTCTGATCCTTGCAGTCCACCTCTACCCAAAATCTTTGATGGGATTTTTAAAACTCCTGTTGGGTAGTTCAGTCCATTCCCAGCCCATGTAGAATACGAGCCTGACTCTGGCCACCAGCCAGACTCCTTGATGACCAGTGGCCCTTTACTCACCTCATCGTCCTTGTACCAGGACAGATTCTCAGCAGTCAGCACAAACCAATACTCCTTGGAGCCCCCCTTCATGATGCCAATGTTGTTGATGGTCAGCCAGCCCTTCCGGATGACCTGGAGGGTGAGGGGAAAGGAGGTCAATGGGCAGAGGCCAGGATTCCCCACGGGGGATGGGGTGGCAAGGAAAGGCCCTCAAAGGCCTGGCCAGTCAGGGAGGTGGGGGCCAGACCTACCCTGTTTTAACTACAAGTGACCAGAGAGGAAGGTAGAGGTCAGCTCAGGATAACGGGCCTTCTGACAGGGAGGTCAGAGTAGGGGACCAGTGATGTTGGTAGGGAAGAGCTCCCCACCACTGACTGTGTGCAAGCAGAGTACAGGGAGCTGCCTGGTCTGGGGCTGAACACGTCAAAGGAGTGTCTTTTCAGCTAAAGATCCAATTTATTCTAAGACTTGTTCTGACCTCAGGGACTTTGCACATGATGGCTGTTGCCTCTGCCTAGGAAGTACTTCTCCTGTTGCCTGACAAGTTCCTTCTCATCTCTGGGTATCAGCTCAGAAGTCACATTCTCAGGCAGGCCCTCCCTAGCCCCTAGTATAAGTCAGAATGCCCATTATAATCTTTCTTCAGACAGGGCTGGGATTTTTAATCAGTGTGTGTGTGAGAGAGAAAGAGAGAGAGAGAGAGAGAAAGAAAGATTATCTGTTGATGTCACCCTGTTTTGCTAAATTGTGAACTCTCTCGCTCCTTGGTGTTTCTCAGCACCTTGCAGTGTCCTTCACAGATGGTAAGTGATCAATAAATATCTGTGGCATGAATACATGAAAGCTATGAGTACCTTTGGCCCCGGGCCCTAGGGTAGGGTGGGATGGAGTGGGGTGGGGGAAGGGGCTGAGCACCAATTGCCTAGGGCCTTCAACTCCAGGAAGGCCCAGAGTAACAGGCAAAGATCTCTTCTCACAGCAGGAGACAACAGTCCCAGGACTGTCCTGAGCCATCGCCACACACCAGAGGTTGTGGATTCTACCCCAAGGCCAGGGCCACTAACCAGACCCTGTCGGTGAGTTCATACAGAGAAGACTGGAGTAGCCTGGGGCTGGCAGGAAAGTTCCCTGGGAACAGGCCTGCTTTTGAGACCCTAACAGCCCTGCTGGAACCTTCCTTCAGCCTCCCTGTCTTCCCAGAGAACCTTGCAAGAATTCAAGTCACGCAGAGGATCAGTAGCTGAGGAGCTGCCTGAGCCATTAACAGGGCACCAGCCAGGTGCCCCATGACCCTCTCCCACCCTGTCCAGGTCCCCTGAGGATCTCCTCAGTGTCTTGTCACTACCTTTGGAATTGAGTCCAAATGCCATAGCCTTGCACTGCACATCCCAGGATCTGACCAGCAGACCTTGACACCCTGCTCCTTGCCTGGCTTGCATGCCTTTGTCCTCCCTTGGCCACCCCCAGCTCTGCCCTTCTCCCTGCTCATCCCAAACCCCCTTCCCGAGCCCTTGCACCAGGGACCCCCCTCCCCTCCCACTCCCACCCTGGCAGTTGCAAACACCTGGGTCCTGACTGCAGGCCCAGGCCTCCAAGGGGCAGAGCCAGGGTCTGCCTTCTGTCCAGGAGCCAGCACAGTGTAGGCATTCAGTGAGTGTTCACTGAACCAAAATGCCCTGGAATATTACATCCATTAATTTCTTCATTCTATTGAGCACCAACTACATGCCAGGCACTAGGCTGGGGACTGAGGATTTACTGATGAACAAGATGGACCCAGCCCTTGCCCTTGTGGGGTTTGAGATAGAAAAGATATAAAGCCAATAATCATGCCAACCCTAGAAAATAACTAAGAAACCAGAGCCTCTGGAAAAGCTCAGACTCCGGCTCGGGTGTGCAGCTGGGGTGGAGAAGTGATGGTCCAGCAAAGACCTGAAGGACAGACAGGTGAGGAGGGACTTGTCTCTTGACATTTCATTCATCTTTTTACTCAACTCTCTGGTAGAGATGGCTGGCTTAAAGATATATTTCTCTCCCATCCCTCCCTCCCTCCATCCAATAGATATTTAAGGAGCACCTACCCAGTGCCAGGCCCCTGCCAGGCATTTTCACCCACCCCAGCCCACATGGTCTGCCTCTGCCTGAAGTAGATGCTTAGCTCATGCGCACTGACGGACAGGTGGATGGGACTGTGTGTGTGGCTAGGCCTTGCCTCTGGCCTGAGAGCATGCGTGGACACTCATGTGCTGGTGTGTGCAAGCAGCTCAAGCCAAAGGGTGCCCTCCTGCCCCTGCACATCCCCACCACAGATATGCCCCCTCCCTCCTCCCCCTCACTACACAAACCAAGAGCCCCTGTCCTGGTACTTACCAGAATCTCATCCTGCAAAGAGGTAACCATAGCAACCACGAGAAGCATCGGGAGAGAGGAGAGAGGGTTACTGAGGCAGAGTGGGAGGCTTGTGGCTGGCAGCTGACAGGCTCCCTGGCCCCTGTGGGACCCTTCCCTTCAGGGGAGGGGGCTCTCAGAGCTGGGTGTTCATCCGGCACCCTCCATCCCTCGGGCTGCGGCACTAGGGTCCACTCACCTGATTCCCTGAAGCCTTCTTCTTGTTCATCTGGTTGCTCCTCTGCTGAGCACTAATGGAGGAAGTGGGAAGCATCTCAGAACCCCTCCTCTCAAGAAGCCCAGCTTCACTGCACCTGCTCAGTGGGCACTGGACCCAGAGGGTTAACCCAGCAGGATTGCGTTCCACTACACACACTCTACGAGGCATCACCTTCCCTGCCAGGGAGTACTCACTTGGCAAAGCCTATGAAGTCCTCATGGTTGGTGTTCATGTAAGCCAGCTCAATATCGATGAGGAGCATGACCTTCAAGGATACACACGTTAGCAGGCAAGTGGAAAAGGTACCACAGTGTTTTATAATGCACGAAAAGCTGGGGAAACATACTTGCAGAATCCATAATAAATAGATCCATAGTCCACAATATATAAATGCATCCATAATAGCAGCCGTAATAAGTAAGAAGCTCCAACAAATCAATAAACAAAAGACAAGAAACACAAATCAAAGTAGTCAAAGGACATGACTGGGTAATTCATAGAAGAAATGCTCACCTCATCCATTGAGAAATACAAGTTAAAACAATGAGACCCTTTTTTAACCTATAAAATTGATAATAAATATTGATATGACCGGTATGGGCACAGTTGTGGGAAGGTGAATTCTCTCAACTGGTGGAAATGTAAATAAGCCTCACCTTCTTGGAGGGCAATCTGGCAATATTTGAACAACATTAAAATGCATATATTCATTTCTAGAAATACATCTCACAGAAAAACTCATCAAGTAAGCAAAGCACCAGGGTGTTCAGTGTGGTGTGGTTTATAATGGAGAAAAGTTGGGAACATCAGAAGATGAAACTGATCATGGTATCATCTAAATAATAAAGCTCTCTACACTGTTCCAGAGAATGAGGACAATTTCCAGGCTCTGGTTTGAGAAGATCCCCGCGGCAACTGTTGAAGCGCGATGGGATTTGTAAGTGAGTCGTGATCCTGACGTCCCTGAGGCACACTGCCGGGGTCCTGACCCAGGCCCCGCCGCGGCCTGGGAGCCTGTCCGCACTGAGCCTCAGGTTCCCCAAGGGAAGCTTTCTGCCTCACAGGAGCGGCGAAGACGCAATGGGATGGGGCAGGTCACGTGTCTGGCTTGTACTAGGGTGCTCAGCAGACGTAAGCGGCTACATTATCTTCAGAGAAAAAAGGAAGGACACACGGCAGGGGTGCAGGCTTTCAGTTAGGATGGAATCTGGGGTCTGTATGTGCTAGAAAAAAGTGCGGGAAGGGGACACACCAAACTGTTAATGAGGGTTATTTTGTGGGAGGGACTCGGGGGTGGGGAAGAGTGGATGGAGGAACACTACTTGTAACTTAATTACTCCTATACTGATCGAATATTTTATTGAGTATTTACCACTTCTGTGATTAAAAAGAGACCGATAAGAATTTTAAAAACATAATGTCAACAACAATCACGTGATCGGAGAAGGCACCATTGTGGAGAAGGGATGTGTGGGGGTGGAGGCTGGGAACTGGGGGCCAGAGGCGGGTTTAGACTCAAGGACAACAGAGAGATGGCCTGGGAAAAGAGGGCTGGCCGGTGAGCTTCGTGGGGACCGCGACGGAGCCTGCCCGGTTCACCTCCGGCCAGTGTGGCCGGTGCTCCGTGACGACGTTTGTGATGAAATGAATGCCTATCTAATAAAAGCCTACCTGAAAGGAAGAGGGGGTGATTAGGAGGGCGTAGGGTAACCCAGAGCGGCAGCAAACAGAGAGGCCCAACTGGAGGATGGACTGCCGGAGAAGTGAGAAGCGGAGAGTGGGATGTAAAACGGCGCAGCTGCCGTGGAAACCGTACGGCAGCTCCTCAAAACATTAAACATGGAATTACCGTATGACCCGGCAATTCCATTTCTGGGAATATACCCCAAAGAACTGAAAACAGGATCTCAAAGAGATTATTTGTACACTAATTTTCACAGAAGCACGACTCACGATAGCCAAAAGGTAGAAACAACCCAAATGGGTAAACAAAATGTGGTCTATATGTACAACGGACTATTATTCAGACTTAATCTTGCTGTGACGTGGATGAACCTTGGAAACATTATGCTAAGTGAGAAAGGCCAGAAACGGAAGGCCAAATGTCATATGCTTCCACTTACGTGAGGTCCCCAGAGTGGTTAAATTCATAGTGACAGAAAGTAGAATGGTGGGCACCAGGGACGGGGGTGGGGGCAGGGGAGATGGGGAGTCGCTAATGGAGACAGAGCTTCCTTTGGGAAGATGAAAATGTTCTGGAGCTGAATGGAGGGGAAGGCGGCACAACAATGTGAAGGTACTTAACCCATCAAACTGTGCACTTAAAAAACAGTTACAATAGTAAGTTTTATGCTATATATATTTTCCCACATTGAAGAAGAGAGAAGCAGGGGGTTTGTATGAGGAGAGAAACGTAAGGGAGACTGAGACATTAGAGACGAAACGGGGAGGAGGTAAGCACGGGGACAGGGGTGACAGGCCAGGGAAGAAGGGGCGGCGCTGCGGGCTCACCTGCTCCTTGGTGCGACCCTCGCGCTCCCGGATGTGGGTGGTCACGATGCGCTCCATCTCCTCCCGCAGCCGCGGGTACTGCTGGAGCTGGGGAAGGGCGGGAGGGGAGAAAGCCACGTACACAGGGGGCCTGGGCGGGGAGCAACCGCGCCCCACACAGTCCGGGGATCCAGGGGCCTGGGGCGGTGGCACACAGAATCCCCAAGATGGGGGAAAAGAGACCCAGGGCCCCAGGAAGCTGATGGCACCAAGCCACGGCCACTCCTCTCCCCAAATGTGAGCTCCCAATGGCAGTTCAGGGGTCTTCCTGGTTCTGACCCTCTTCACTGGCCCACCTGGGAAGCTCTGGAGGGAGGACGGTTCCCATGGGCAGAAATGCCAGGGGCACCATCTGCTCCCCGGGCCACCATCTTGGAAACATATTTGATGGAGGCCTTTGTTTAGGGGACTGTTTAACTTCCAAAGCTTTCACTGACTCACAGGGCTACCCCTTGCCTTCTCAAAGGCTTAGGGGAACAGTCAGGAAACAGCCCTGAGATTCCCATCCAGGAAGAATCTGGGGGGGCAGGCCCAAGGTGCCAGCGGACCTCCTGAGTCAGGCTGGGGACAGGCAGTGCTCCTTGTCGGGGCCGGGGCAGAGGGCAGGGGAAAGCCAGCAGTCACACAAACGACATGCAGGAGCCACAGGCACAAGGCATGCGAGGGGTGGGGGGGCATGCGGAGAGAGGGTGCCAGCAGCATGAGCAGCACCCCGCGGGGCCTGGCAGGGCCCGGGGCCCTCTGGTAGAATCCACCCAGCTTTGCCTCCCTTTGCAGGCCCTGGCTTGGCACCATCATCCCCAGCCGTGTCTGCCTGGCTCTGAGCTGGAGCTGGCCAGCCAACCTGTCTGCACCCCACTCCTTTGAGATGGGTGCACAGCAGCACCCATTGCTCCCAGTTTTTATCAACTGAAGCCAAAGGGGAAGTTGCTCCAAATCCTTCCCCCTCTGCCTGTGAACTCTGCCCTCAGCTCAGCTGGGCTCTGGACAAAACCCAGGTTGACTCATTCTCCTTCAAGACTGATGGCTGTCACCTCCTCCAGAAAGCACGCCCTGCCTGAGCACCCTGAGAGCTGGTTAGGGGCCTCCTGTGGTCTCCCCACTATCAAAGTGGATTGTAATTGCCCTGAAGGCAGGGGGAAGGTGGGGCCTCCCACAAGGGCTCAAAGAGGGCAGGTTGGAGGAATGAGAAATGAATGAAGGATGGATGTCTTTGCCCTCCTTGCCAGGGTGAGTGGACACTGGCTCCTATGCCCTCTGGCTCATGAACCAGCTCCTCCTTGGGGAGGCAGATGCACTGAGGCAGATGTACTGAGCTCCTGATGGGAGACCCCATCCACAGGACCTCCAGGCCTGCTGGCCTGCCCTCCCCATTTGGTGGCCACATGGGGCCCAGGTGGGGCCAAGCTAGAGCCACTCCTTGTCCCTCTTTCCAAGCCTGGGTCAGGCCCTCAGGTGGATGCCGTAGGCGGGTCACAGGCAGGGATTCTGGGGGCATGATGGGGACCAAGGAGATGGGCTAGGAGGCATCAGATGAGGCAGGGGGCTAGGGAAGGAAGCAGTCTTGGCCACCCAGGAGAGGCAGACATCCCCACAACCGTCCCACGGCTGTACCAAGGGTGTGGCTGATGTGGCCTTGGGGGAGGGGCAGCCTGTGACCAGGGGCTTAAAAACAAACGCCAGCCAGAGGGCCCAGTGGACCCTGCTGCCTCATGAGGTTCACAGACTGGGGCCCTCTCCTTGCAGTCTCCAAGTTGGAGCAGAGGTTCAGGACTGAGTCACCACCCCCGGAAAGCCTCCTCTGAGGTGGTCCCAACTGCTCCCTCCCAGGCTGGGGAGTGAGGTCAGGGGGAGAGGGGGGCAAGGAGGGAGAAGGGAGCAATTTGCCACAGAGCATGACCAGTTCTCCCACATTACATCTGTCAAGTTTTCCACGGGCCACAGATGACAGGGCAGCCTCAGCCCCTTCTGAGAAGTTCTGTTCCCTTTGAGCATCTTTTTCCATGCTGGCTGCTGCCTCTGAGCATTTCCAGGCCTTTTAGCCAGTTTTTAAAATGGAACTTTTCTCTCTCAGCCCCTGGCTGAGTGGGGCGCTCAGCCTGGAGCCCACCAGTTAGTGGTCAGGGATGCAGGCCCTGGGTTCACATGACTCTGGGTTCAAAGCCAGCCCAGCCTCGCCAACTCACTTTAGAAAAGTGTCTGGACCTCTTTCTTTGAGGCTCAGTTTCTCCACGTGTAAGATGGGATGGTAACGGCACCTTCCCTCTTAGGGTTGTTGAGAGGACTGGAGCAGCACCTGCCATGCTCCACATTAAATTCCAGATTTCCTTCTGAGATGGTTGGGCAGGCTCTCACCCCAGCAGGGCTAGGAATTAGAGCTGACTGTCTATCAAACCTTTGGCTTGATAAAGCAGGATGACTTGGGAAAGAAACAAAATAAAGATTCAGATGGGCGAATTCTTCCCCGTAAAGGAAAAATTACTCTTCACTAAAGCAACCAAAAGGCCAAAATACTTTATAAGCTTTCATTTTTGAAGATTTTGTTGATCAATTTTTCTGCTCACAAGAATCTATAGACTCACTAAAAGAAATTTGAACATGACTAAAATTTGTGAAGTAGAAATGGAAAAATTCCTATGTTCCTTGCCCTCTTTTAAAACAATGGCAGTTTGGTGACTGTGCCTTTGGAATCCCCCCCCCCACCCCCCCCCCAAATATTATACATTCTTTTCTGAAACCTTTTTTTCACAGTACACTGGGGAGGCACATGTGAATGGAAATAAAGATGCCTTGCCCTTTTAACGGCTATAGTTTTCCATTGTAGGCATGACACTTCATATGCATTATATAATCGGTCCCCTCTTGATGGACATCTGGTTGTTTCCAAAATTTCACCCCATTTACATAATAACTGCTTTCATTTTGGAATGTGATTCAGCAAAGCTTCACAGTTTTTATGGGTCTATATCTAGTAGTCAGTCTTCTAGGAATCTATCCTAAAGAAATAATCCTAGAGGAAGAAAAATAAAATTATTTATCTACAAAGATGTTCATTGTCAGGTATTTATAAATGCTGAAAAACTGGAGACAATTTAAATAACTACCAATAGGAAAATGGTTGATTTTATAATAAATAAATTCAAAAGAATAAATCTACTCAATAAAATATTATGATAAACCTATTCAATAGATATTATGTAATCATTAAAAATGTTTATGTAGACTATATAATAATGCATGTTATTAAAAGAAAAAGCAGAATGCAATATGTTCACAGAGTGAATACCTAACAAAGTAAATAAACCTATGCATAGAAAAAAAGATTGGAGGACTAATTTAGTGAAAACTTTTTGGAGAGCAGCCTTGTAGATGTTACCAAAATTGGGCATGCTTATACGCATTGACTAGGCAATTCTATATCTAGAAATTTGTCCTAAAGAAACAACAGGAAAAGTACTACAAATACTTCTACAAGGATGTTCACTACAGACAGCACTGTGTGTAAAAGAAAAAGAAAAGTTGAAAGAACCTAAATGTCTGCCATTAGGATACTGAATATATGTCATGCCACATTTCTACAGTGGAACGCAATTTGGCAGCTCAAGGGCATGATCTTTATGTAGCTACATGCAAGGATTCCACTATGTCCTGCTCAGAAGAGTTCATGGGTCAGTGTGTGTACTGTGAGTCCATTTTGTTTAAAACTAGTGTATATTTGTAATTAGGAAGGGTGAGCGGCTCGTAGTCTGTCTCTGGGGTTGTGGGAATACAGAGAATTTTGCTTTGTGCTGTTTGAATATTTTTATAACAATCATGTATGATTGGAACAAAATCAATTCTGATCATTTCTGTTTTTTAAAAAAGAGTGTACTTGCAAGAACGGTACAAAAATCTCAGTGGCTCTGGAAAGGCAGGGCGGTTGCCTTCTTTTTATTTTTTTGGTATTTTCCAAATTTTCTGTCCTCGAAAATGTACTATTTTTATAGTTAAAAACTGAGGTTTAAAAAAAAATTTAGTCATACCTTATCTTCTTTTGTAAAGAGATTTGAGGCAGCTTAAAGTAAACTTGATATTTTTAAAGTTTAACAAACATAAGATTGTGTTGCTTAATATTCATAATGCAGTGGGTCCATGACTGAGATGTCATGATAAACACTATGCTACGGGGAGTGCAGCCCAGATTTTATTCCACCTAGAACAGGCACTGAGTGGATACTAACTCGCTCGATCCGTCCCCATTAGGCACAAAGTGGGTGAAAGTGAGACAGGATAATGGAAGGTGCACGTGACCAGTGGTGTCTGAGCCACAGCTGTAGTACTGATCTGGGGTGCAAAGTGGCAGCAGATGTGCCCACCTCCCAGCACAGGTGGCTTTCCAAGTGCAGGTGAGCCTGGGCTGCCCCCGAGGTTGATTTAGCTGCCTGGGCAGGGGCATTTGAATTCTGATTCTCATGCACTGTCCTCGGAGGAACTGCCTTCAGACAATCCTCAAAATGCCCAAAAGTAGACAAATAGGAAAAAGGCATCTAAAAGGTCACAGAAAACTCAAAAGAGGCTGACCCTGTCAAGCACATATGGATTACTGCTAAGTAAGTAATCCAATATGCTTTTAGGCAAATTGGTTTTGAGGGGTAGGGATAGCTCCCTCACCCCAAGGGGCCCTGATTCCAGATCTCCTCCTTCGGCCTCCCTAAATCTCATTCCCACTATACTTTTCTTTTCTGAGACTCAATTTCATCATCTGTAAAATGGGGATAATCCTACCCACTTCTTAGAGTCGTTGAGAGGATTAAGTCAGATAACAAGGGCGCTTGCCCAGTGCTTGGCACACAGCAGGCACTCAATAAATCGCGGCCATCTCCTTATCATCAGTGCCGTGGTTGCCATTCTTACTGGTGGAAAGGGGCCACTGAGAATGCTTGGGCTGGAGCAAAGTCTTCTGGCAGAGGCGGGGCTGCAGGGGTCAGGAGCACAAGCAGAGCCAGGGTTATAAGCGGGCACAGAACCTCAGGGCCAGGAGTCACCTGGCCAGCGTGGGTGTCTGAGGCCATGTGGACGGCCAAGAGGCTGTCGGACCTGCTCGGCAGATGGTTCTGCCCACGGGGGTCCGTGACCATGAGGAAGAGACGGCCAGGCCCAGCCCCGCCCTGGCGGCCGTCATACCTTTTCGCTACACTTTCTGATGGTGGACGTGAGCTCACTGACTACCATATCCACACACTTGATACTGGGCTCTTTGAGCTTCTGCACCTGCTTTTTCACTGTAGCTTCAAAAGCGAGGTCAGGTGTGAAGAGGCCCGTCCTGCACCCAGGGAGGAGGAGGGGATGGAGGAGGAGCGGCCACGGGCGGGTGGGAAGGCAGGCGGAGGGGGTGAAAGCCAGGCAGGGCCCGGGCCCGGCGGGGGGGTGGAGGATGGCACAGGCATGGGGGGAAAGAGAGAGACACCGACACAGAGAAAACGAGAGAGAACAGAAGACAATGTGAGCACGGGACCCAGCCCTCCCTACTGCCCACCCAGGGCAGCACCTCCCAGGTGCTGCGAAGCACCCCTTGCCCACCAGGCTCTTGTGGGTATGGGCAGCAGGGGCTTCTGAGGGACCAAGACCCTGCTCAGTATAAGGCCCCTTACTGAGTTCAGATCCTCTCCCTGGGGCTTGGCCCCTCACCCCTCAGCTACACTGACACTGCCCTCCCTCTCTTAATGCCATCTTTGTCACAGCCCTGGGTCCTCCTAAGGTGCTAACACAGGCCAGGACCTCACCTACCCATTCTGTTCAATTCTAGGTTTCTCAGCCCCTCCTACATTCACCTCATCCTGACTGCAAAGCCAGCACAATTCCCTACCTCCAGCAGGGTTGCTGCATCCAGCTGCCCAGGCTGTGCACTGCTCAACTCCACAGGTGCCCCCCTGGCAGAGCCTGCGGTGCACATGATGCGTCCTGGAGTTGCAGTGCAGCTGTCTGACCTCTACTCTCCAGCTCCCTGCTCTACACCTGCCCCTCCCTTTCTCCTCAAGGGGCTTCCTTCGCCTCTCCTCCAAAAGGGTCTGGAGGAACTCAGTCAGAAAGACAGAGAGAGAAGAGGAGGAAAGACAGAAAGAGTGGAGATGTTGATAGAGAGGGACCAGGGCAGCGGTGGGAGGAGGAAAGGAAGGGAGGCTGATGGGTGGAATCAAATGAGCACTGGTCCTTGGAGTCCAAAGCCATGGCTTTGAGTAACAGCTCTGCCAGCTCCAGGCTAATATGACCTTGGACAAGTCATTACTTCCTGAGTCCCCGTTTCCTGCTGTGAAATGGAAATTTTCCCTGCCCTGTCCTGCCCTCTGTAGGTGGTTCTGTGAGGCTCTGATGGCAGAGCGGTGGAGGAGGGCTCTGTCTCTGGAAGGCCAGAGTTGTGGATGGAGAGGAAGGGAAAGGTCCCGTGGGAGGGTCCGGAGAGGCTGGAGTGAGAATGAGGGGGATGAGGCCGGGTATGTCACCTCTCTGCAGGGCCAAGGTTTTCTCAAGGTCCCTCCCTGAAGCCCCCAAAGATGACCCCACCTCTGAGGGCAGGGAGGGGGCTCAGGGTCCCCTCAAGGCTATTCTCCCTGAGCTGGGGAGCTCCTGCTGGGCTCTCAGGACAAATAGCCACCATCGTGCCTGGCTTACCATGTCTAACCCCTTGGTCCCCTAGGCCTGGGGCTGGGGGTGGGTGAGGCCCCCTCAGAGAGGCCCCCTGTCCTGGCCTGTGCTGGCCTGCCTCCCCCACCCCGCTGAGGTCTGTACATGCTACCAGGAGGCAGTGGGGGCTGTGGGGAAGGAGCAGGGCAGCGGTGCAGGATGGGGGCAGAGGCGGGGCCGGCCCGGCTGCCGGGTTACCTTCTTGGTGCACTGTCTAACGGTGCTGATTAGCTCCGAGATAACCATGTCCACACACTTGAGACACGGTTCTCGGATCTTCTTCACCTGCTTTTTCACAATGGTCTCAAAGGCCATGTCTGGGGTAAAGAGCCCCGTTCTAAACGCCCGGAGCGGGAGAAGGGCAGTGTCACAGGCCAGCTCCTGCCAGGAGTGCCAAGCCAGGGCCCCGCCCTGACTCCCTGAGCTCTGCCCTTGGGGCCCTCCCCTCCCCCTCTCTGGGCTTCAGTGTCCCCATCTGTAAAAAGGGCAGGAAGGATTCTAATGACTTTAAGGTGATGCTCTTTGAGGCAAGACAAGGTCTTATCTTTTATGTCCTTCCTCTTAAGATTCTGTCCCACAAAAGGTCCAGAAATGATTTGAAACTGCCAAACTGTGTTCTATTTAAGAGTCTTTCTGGGAATAAAGCATTTTATTTTAAGACTAGTGGAGAGATTTATTTTCTGTGCCTTGGCTAATGCTGTTAACAATCTGTAAATTCCAAACTTTGGAGCTGAACCTGCACGAAAGCAGCGACATGTTGCTCTTGTTCACTGCCTGGCACCTGGCAGGCGCTTTACATTTTCTTGTTGCACGAACAGTGTACATCAGGGCCCTGAAGGGAGGCTAAGTCTCTTTCTGGAGCTCTCTCTATCCCAGTCCCCCTTCCTGTCCGTGGGCTTTGGGGCTGGTGAGGAGGGAGGTGGGCGTGAAGCCGGGCCGACTTTGGGCTAACACGAGAAATGGGTCTGGAGGGTTGAGAGGCCCCATCTGATCATAAAAGGACAGACCAAGTCCCTAGATGTTCCATCCCAGGCCCTCCCCAGTGGTTTAGGCAGCTTTCTGCAGCTACTTAGATAAGACTACGGGGACCTGTCTCATTCTAGGGATGGGCAGGGGCCTAAGCCCACACAGTGCACTCCCCAGCCACCTGTGTCCTGGGCTGTGCTCAGGTAGTCCAGCCTCCAGGCCCTGATCCCAGGGACAGCAAAGGAGGACAGCAGGTTTCAGAGATGGGGTGTCCTTGGCCTCCCATCCACCTCCCCAAGCCAGAGCCTGTCTGAGCTGGGAGCCAGAAAATCGGGGGTGAGGGTACTGGGGACTAGGACTCTTGGTCCTTCCTGAGAGAGGCTCACTTAATCACTCCCCATGACTGTGCGCCAGGCCCCCTGCCTTCCGTGTCGGCCCCCCTCCCAGGCCCAATACATGCCTAATGCCATGGATATTCTTGATGGCATAGCTGATCTCCCTTCGGAGTTCCTTCTCGTCAAACTCCATCTGTGTAGAAGAGCAAGAGGCTGCTGGTCAGGGCCTGTCCCAAGACCTGGGAGGTCAGGACAGGGAGGCCCCACTCCCAGGACAGAACCAGGGCCTCTAGAAGGGTCAGCAAAGGTACCCTGGGCGGGGGTAAGTCCTGAGATCCTCCTGCCCCTGGGGAGCCTGTCCTACCTTGACCAGCTCAAAGGGGAAGCGCTCATGGAAGATCCGGTTGATACGGGCTCCCCCCGACAGCTCATAGGTGTCAATCTGGTCCCCTGATCCCTCAATGCGCTTCTCAAAGTCCACGGCAAACTGCTGGACCATCCTGGGGGGAGAGTGCGGTGGCCTGAGGGGGCAGCAGCTGTCCAGTGGAAGGGCCCTGGGAGTGCCCTGTGCTGGGAGGCTGGAGGGAAGGGGCAGCTCAGCGGTGGGGACTGAGGTACTGGGGGGGGCGCTCACTGCAGCAGGGCCTTGGTCTTGCGTGCAGGGTCATCGGGACGGAAGTTCTTGTACTCTTCCACCTCCTTCTCGATGGACAGCAGCTGGCTCTGCAGCTTGTTCCGCAGCCCTGGCAGTGTGTCCCGGATGTGGTTCGTCAGTTGCTGGGGGTGGGGGTGAGACAAGGGTTAAGGCCACGGTCATAAACCCAGATGCTCACAGAGCCAGGCAGGGACCAGGTGCTGGGGACCCATGAATGTGGTGAGGTGGAGGGCTAGAGAGGCCACCCACCAGAACGGAAGCAGCCTGTGGGCAGGGCCTGGCATCCAGAAGGTGTTCACAGAGGTGTATTAACTGAATTAATGAGTGAATAATGTAATAGTCAACAGAAGCCAGAGTCTAGATTTTTATTTGAAATTACCTGATTTTTGACTAACTTAATGTTTTTACATGAAGTTAAACACCACAAAGACCAAATGAAATGTGTCTGCGGCATCCCTTGTATGCTTGGGGTTTATGGCCTCCCTTAAGGTAATTATCAAAGTTCAGGGGCTCCCTCTGGCTGGGTCCCCATACACAGTATCTCCCTGAACCTGCCCAGTGATCCTATGAAGGAGGGTCTTACCACCATCATCACCATCTTATCATCATGAGCAGAAACAGAGGTTCAGAGAGAGGAAGGGAGTGTCTTAGTGGGTGAGGGACAACCTGGGATTGGAACCCAGGTCTGTGGCCTCCAGGATCCCCAATTCTGCCCCTATGCCACACTGTTTCCCCACTTCCCCCCTCCAATCACACACACACACACACACACACGCACACACACACACAAGTCCCTCAGTTCTGGAAGCCCCGTTCCAGATGGAGAAAATCCTATCCTAGGGAAGACCCTGGAATTGCTCATCTTGTCTCCACATCAACCTCTCCCCATGTCAGAAGGAAACAAGGTTTTCAGCCCAGTACCCTCTAATCCTGGCCCCCAACCCTTGTCAGTGCCACCCTCCACACAGGTCTTGGTGTTCTCTGCACCCTGGAGAGTTACAGAGCTCCCCTCTCAGGGCCCAGACACGGAAAGTTCAGCAAAGCTGCCGCTACCGGCGCTGTGGGACTGTGGGCGTGTTGCTTTGCTTTTCCAGGTCTCGTTTGTTCATCTGCATAATGGGGTTGCTAACCTCTGCTCATCACCCTCACAAAACTCTTAAATGATTCTGTTGTTAGTTCCGCCAGGCCTCATCGTGCCCCAAGTCCCTACCTGGTTGAGGACCTTCTGCAGGTAGGGGGTGCCCATGCGGTCAGCCAGGTGGCGGTAGGATGGGTGGGAAAGGAAGAACTTGCGCTCGGCGGCCAAGGCAGCCGTGATATCCTTCTTGCCGTCGATGTCCTTCTGGCTCCGGTTCACCACCCCAATGTAGCCTGTGGGCGGAGTTGGGGTCAGGGGCAACCAACCAGGCTGGGGACAGGGAAGGGGAAGGGGAAGGGGAAGGGCAGTGGAGGGAGGGGAGTGGCCTGCCAACCTCTGCGCAGGGGGAGCAGCTTGTTCTCCAGCACGTCACGGGCATCTGTGCCCTCGTCCATCAGGTCCAGCTTGGTAATGACCCCGATGGTGCGCTGACCTGGTGGGGGCAGCAAACAGGGCTGACTTCATCCGCACTCGCCCTCACACAGGAGACCCCACGCATTCCCACTCCCCACCCTGCTCCTCCATCTCCCTGCCCACTCCCTTGCTTGCCCACTGCCTGCCTCTGCGCACCCACCATTCATTCTGGTGGCCAAAATGACTTTTAAAGACCCTGCAGTAGCTCCGTCTTACACTGAGAATAGACCCCCTGGCTGCCTTGGCTGCTGGTGGGAGCCTACCCTGGGGGTCCACCTCCTTGGCGATCTTGAGAGCATCAGAGTTGGCCAGGTCGGAGTTGGCTGGGGACACGGCCAGGATGAGGCAGTTCTCCTTGGTGACGAACTGCATAAGCATGTCCCGGATCTGGAACTCGATGTCAGCAGGTTGGTCGCCCACCGGGACCTTGGTCATTCCGGGCAGGTCCACTAGGGTCAGGTTCAGCACTGGACAGGGAAGCGAGGGGGAGGACTCAAGGTGGGGGGCGTGGCCGTGAGCGGGCGGATTAAGGAACGGGGCCGAGTGTAGAGGGGATCCGCTGGGAGTGTGGCGGTAGGATGACAGGATTACGGAAGCGAGAGATGCTAACGCGACCGCCCGTTGGGGGCGTGGTAGGAGGTGGGCGTAACTATGGGGGTGGAGCTTGTGGGGTCAGAGGCGGGGTCACTGTGGGGGCGGAGTCTGCAGGAGACGCGGAGCTCGCGTAGGACGGGGCCAGAAAGGGAGGGGACAATAAGGCCCCAACGGGCGGGGCTAATCGGGGTTGCTCAGATTGGGGGCGGGGCCACGTCTCACCGTGCGGCGAGTAGACGCGGAGGTTGATGGGCACCGGTGAGATACCCTTGTTGGTGCCGGTCACCCGGTCGGTCTCAGCCTCGATCTCCAGGCGCACCTCCTCAAAATCGGTGAATTTCTTCCCCTTGCAGTGCAGGAACTCGGCATATTCTGCCCCAGAAGCGGGCGAGAGGGGGATCAGAGAGGTGTAAACATCACAGCTCCGAACCCACCCAGGTACATCTTCCACTGGGGTGGGGCAGCAGGGAAATAGACCCCACACATCCCTCAAACACTGCCTTGTCTCTCCTCCCTCCCCACAATACTGCAATGTCTCCATTATGCATTTTTATCCCCACTGTCCAGATGGGAAATCGAGGGCCAAAATCACACAGCAAGCAAGTTCAGCGGCTAGGCTGGGCCTCTCCTTGAGGTGGGTGGGTGGCTGGAGAGGCCAGGATGGGCTGCTGGCGGACGAGAACACGTACCTGTGGTAGCATTGACCAGCTGCAAGACCAGGGGGCGACGGGTGACGATGCCAGATCCTCGGGGTAGGAAGTCTCTGTAGTACATTGGAGGTGAAAGGAAGGTCAAGGTCTACGGAGACTCCCTCTATCCCAGGGGCACCTGTCCTGTCATTAGGAGCTCCAAAGCTCCCCTAAACTGCCCCCCCCCCAGACGATGCCAGATCCTCGGGGTAGGAAGTCTCTGTAGTACATTGGAGGTGAAAGGAAGGTCAAGGTCTACGGAGACTCCCTCTATCCCAGGGGCACCTGTCCTGTCATTAGGAGCTCCAAAGCTCCCCTAAACTGCCCCCCCCCCCACCAAAACACACCTTAGCTCAACGGCTTGAGGTCACTAAAGGGAGATGGCAGACAAGAAAGATGATAGAGCCTTCCCCAAGTCCCCTGGGTCACGGAATTTATGCATCTGAGCTGCCAGGAGACAAGAACAGCACCCCTAGACCTCTCTCAGGTATGCCCTGTGTTAGTTCTGAGCCAACAGGAAGTCCCTGCCCCAATCCAGCTACTGCCATTCAGCTCAGGAGGCACTGAGGCACTGGGTACCCCACATGCCCAGGTGTGCAGTGGCCACAGAGTGGACGTCAAGGAAATGGAGCTGCACTCCTCCCCTCCCTTTCACTGTTGGAAGAGCAGCATCTCATTTCCCTTTCCAGGGTCCCCATCTGACTGGAGTTGAGGATGAGGGGATGGGGGAAGGAAGAGACAAGGAAAAGGACTCATGCTTCTTAAGTGCCTCCTGCATGCTGGGCTCTTGGTAGGCAGTATCTCAGGGATCACACAATAGCCTCATGGGGTAAGTGCTGTTCTTATCCCCACTTTACAGATGAGGACTCAGAGATGTTCAGGTTACAGGGCCAGTATCTAGCAGAGAAGGCTCTGGACCCAGGTCTGTTTGATTCAGTGAAAGCTCCCTGCACCTTCAGCTCCCCACAGACCCACCTCTGAAGGACTGAACTGAGGGGTCCCAAAGTCAGCCCCTACCCTAGACCTGATGTATCTGAGATATCTGCTCGTGCAAATGGCAAACTCAGCAGTCCTTCTGGCTAACTCTTGTGGGTGTTGATTCTCTGTCCTGTCAGCTCTTCTCACCTCCCCACCCACTTACAGTCGCACATAGGCCAGCAAAAGCCTGAGGGTGGAGGCTTTTTCTGGGACCAGGCTGTCAGAATCTACAGTCATGGGACTCCCTGGACCCAGGAAAGGGGAAGCAGGCTGGAGCCTAAGGGACTGTAGGGATCCAGCCAGCCACTTCACCCACAGACAGACACATGGAGGCCCAGGAAGGGGAAAAGACACACCCACTCCTACAGGGCTTGCACAGGGCCACAGCAAGCTTGGGGTCTCTTGCCTCCAGCCCAGGGCCTGACCCAGACTTACACAGCTTCATGCATCCCAGGGTCAGGGCAGAGGGTCCTACAGACAACCACAGGCCCAGGCTTCTGGGTTCAAGGCCAACTAGTTGGGCTCTGGGGAGGCTTCTTCCATCTCCTGCCCTCATCCTGCCCCTCCTCTGGGGAGATTAGAGGCTAATGGGGAAGACCTGGCCACTTTAATGGGGAAGGAGAAGGATTATAAATCCTGCATTTCTTCGTCATTTCTCGGTGCCAGGCAAGCACTTTTCATTTTTGCAAGACTGTGAGCTTCAGAAGGGTGGAGCTTGCATCTTTCTGCCCACCAGTGTACCCCAGTGCCAGCACAAGGCTTAGCACAAGGAAGGTAGTTAACAAATGTTGACTCAATCCCCAAGAAATTAGAACAGTGCTCTGATATGGAAATTGTCATTTTACAGATGAGGTAACTGAGGCTCCGAGAGGTGAAGTGACATATCCAAGTCACCCAGTTAGGAATGGCAAAGCTAGGATTCAAACCCATATGTCTATTGGACCCCAGAGCCCGGGAACTTCCCTGTCAAACTCTACTCCCTAAACCCGAGAAGCCAGACTTGGTTTTTTTCTGTAATCCAATTCAATTCAGTCTAGGACATATTTGGGAGCAGCTGCTCTGTGCCAGGCCCTGTGCTGGGCTCTGGGGATGGTAGGTGATGAGTCAGAGTTCCCTGCCTGGAGGAACTCACAGTGTGGTGGGAGAGACAGACAAGTAAACAGATAATACGATGCAGTGTGACATGTGCTGGAACGGAGGTGTGCCAGGAAGCCTAGGGGAGGAGGCAATAGGGGGTGGGGGCAGGGAGGACTGCCTGTCTCTATCTCTCCCATCCTTTACTCATTTGAGAAGGTGACCCCCCTGGTATTTGGGATCTCCCAGGACTGTGGAAATGGGACATTTGTTCTCACAGAGGCTAGGGTGGACATGTGGGACCCGGATCCACCCTCTTCCCCACCAGCATCTCACCCAGCTATACCATGGCAACAGAAGTTGCCATGGCAACAGCAGGAGGGGCTGGGAAGGATGGGACTCCTTACAGAGAGCCCCTCATGTTGCCACACGAACCTTCCCTGGAGCTCTGAGAGGCCTCCCCCTGCACAGATGGGCCACCCTGGCAGGCCTGAGGGGTGGAGGTCAATGAGGTGTTGCAGAGACAGTGCAGGGAGCCCTGGGCCCAGCTGGAGGGAGGGTGTCAGGGGTCTGGAGAGCCTGCCCCCAGTCAGTGCTTCCCAGGGCTACTAAAGGACAAGCAGCTTATAGGAAATGGAGATTAAGAGGGCAGGGCCACGTGTAGTAGCAGAGCCCCTGCTCAGTGAAGGCTCTCTCAGGGCCAGGGTGGGCATGGCCCAGGTTCTCAAAGTGAGGCCCTCACATGGCCTGCATCAGAATTCTCTGGGCGGTTTGTTAAAAGGCACATTCCTCAGACATGCTGGGTGAGAATCTCGAGGGAGGGGTTGGGAGGACTGGCAGGAGAGGAGGGGTCTGGATCTTCAACACAATCCCCATGTGATTTTCATGTTCCCTTTCGAGTTTAAGAATCACTGGCTTAGTGGTTAGAAGCCAGTGCCAGGCAGGGGCCCTGGGTTCAAATTCCCCATTCCCCAGCCTGGTGCCCTTGGGCAAGTTGCTTCAATCTCAGCCTCAAAGTAAACTGATATTATATAAACTGAGCAGCATCATATACCACATATGGCCGTGGTGGGATTCACGGAGGCTTTTCCCGGAAAGAGCTGAGCCCATGCCTGGTGCAAAATAGGTGCTCAGCAGTTTGAGGAGGCTGCTGGGGAGTACCTTCTGTTCTCAGCCTCCTCCCTAGGAGGATTCCCAAATCTCAGCAAGGAACCCTAGATCCTGAAGAACCATCTGCCTCTAAATCGGACCTTGGGATTCTGACCACAAAATGTTAGCTGGAAATGATGGATATCGAGCAGGAGAAGCTTTCAGAGACCATCTTATCCCGTCATCATTCCAGAGAGTGGGACAGAGGCCCAGAGACAGGCAGGGAGCTGTGAGGCCACGCCGCGATGGGACAGGTGGCCGGGGGCTGCTTCCCAGCCCCACGTCTGCAAGAGCACCAACCGATCCCCCATCCGGACTGTGAGCACCTCATCCCTGCCGGCTTCCCATGCTTGGCCCAGGCCTGGCACATAGGTGTTCAGGCGATACTCAGAGAAGCCAGCATGGGCATGGAGCTCCATGGCCTTGCCCTTTACCCGGACACATGGCCACAGCACTCTGCGGTGGCCTTGGAGCCTCCCCAGTGGGGATTCAGGCCTTATCTGGCCTCCAGACAGCCCAGCTCCTGCTTAGGTTGAGGGAGGACAAAACAGGTGTCCAGGAAAAAGTGTGCCAGGCCCACCAGCCTTGGTGGCTGTGTGGGAGGGGTGCACTGGACAGATGGTGGTTTCCTGAGGCAAGGCACCCAAACCTGAAGCACAGGGAGGATTAAATAAACACCTCAGGGCCTCCAAGTGCCACACACTCCCTGTCTGAACTGGCACTGTCACCCATTCTGGAGAAAGTATGCCATAGGTCTGAAGTGACCCCCACCCCTACTCTGGTACCTGAAGTGTCGGCCAGGCCTCAGGGACCCTGGTTCCTAGGTTGTGTTGAATGCAAATGATGCCAGAAAGGACCAGGCTTAGTCTTCTATTCCCCGGGCTCTGAATTCAGACAGGCCCAGTGCTGAACAACAGGACTGCTACTTCAGAGTTGTGTGGCTATGGACAAATGACCATGCCTCTCTGAGTGTCAGTTTCCATATGGGTTAAATGAGTTGCTGTGACGCTTATAAAAGTTAATGCCCGAATAAATAGTAGCTACTAGGATTATAAATAATACAACTGTTGTGCAGAGAACACAGGCTGGGCTCTCACAAGCGTGTCACCAAACGATGCAGCAGGGAGGGAGTTGGAAGGTGGGTCTCCTGGGGCCTGGCCAGAAGAGTGGGTGGGTGGGCCGGGATATTTCCTGCCAAATCTTGCACCTGGAAGTGGCAGGCAAGGGGGGTGGGCAGGCTCTGAGATGCCCTCTGAAGCACATGGAGCTGGGGCGGAGGTGGGAGTGGGTGGGCCAGGAAATACAGCTGGGAGGAGGTGAGGCTGCCTCCAGGCAACAAGCCCCTCTCTGTTCCCGCTGCCCCAGGAGGCCGCAGACATGCCCACTGCACACAGCCCATGTATTTCCAGTTGAGGTTGGAACATTTCAGGGCAGTCCTGGCCTTGGCTTCCCCTGGTATTCTGACATCCCGAGAGCAGGGACTGGGCTGGTCCTGTTTACTCCCGTATACCCAGCACCCGGCATGGAGCCTGGCAGGGAGCCACCACTCGGGACACCCCTGGAAGCCAAAAGATGAGCTCCTCTACTTTTCCCACTGTCACCCTCATTGTACAGGTGTGGAAACTGAGGCCCAAAGAGGGGAAGAGTTGTTGCTCAAGATCATAGTGCAGGCTGGTGACATGGGGGGACTTGTACCCAGAGCTCTGGACTCCAAGTCTGGTGCTCCCTCTACAACAACCATTTTCCCTGTTAGAGAAAAGCTATGATCTCTCCTTCCATGCTTCCTACCTTTCTTTTTCACTTCTTTCCTTCCTTCCTTTCTTTGAAGTATTGATGACTTTATATTTTCAAAATGGAAATAGATTCCTCTTTT